CCTGAGCCGAAGGCAGAGGCTTAACCCACTGAGCCACCCAGGCGCCCTATTACTTGTGTTTTTAACCACTGTATAGAGTTCCATTGTATGGATATATCAGTATTTATTTAACTAGTCCTCTACTAATGAAAATTTAAGTTGTTTGCAATTTCGTTTGCCGCTTCAAGACTTGCTTCAAATGCTAACATTCTGTATACATCACTTCACACAAATGCAGATAAATACGTGTATCCAAAGTGTTTTTCTTCATCCCTTCTGGATTTGTACCTACAAAGTTGAGGACCTGTACACTGACCTAATTAGAGTTCAATTCCATAAATCAAGTCAGGAAACATTCACCGAGTGCTTGCTGTGTACGTGGCACCATCTTAAAAAAATATGTGGGATAGAAATAAATATCAGACATAAACCTTGTCCTCCAATAGCCACAATTTTGCTTTCATGTTAGAATCCTGGTATTTCCCAAATGTTTTTAAAACTTTTCTCTCTGCCCAAGAGAAATAACGTTTCCCCTGCTGAGTCTTTCTGGAAGGGCCTGTCTGTGGCTTTGAAAACCAGGAAGAGTGTTCCTAGTAGCAAAAAGCCACAGGTTGGTATCTAGCAGGATCCTTAGGGGAGAGCACAGAAAATTTAGCTCTACCCCCAAAGCATCCTTCGCATTACTCCATGTGTACATATCTTCTCTCTCACCTCAGCTCAAAAGGATCTCATCCATAAATATATCCTAAATCCCTCCAATTTAAGGCACATGCTTCCTCATCCGTGACCTCTCATGGTACGGTTTCTGTGTCCCACATAAGGTCTGAATCATTTTTTTCCCCTTAAGTTATACTTTTTAAAAATATGTCTTATTTCCTACACTTGGCCATCTGGGGACTAAGATTCATCTCCAATTCCTCCCAACCTCTGCAAATTAAAAGGAGGAACAGAAAGAGAATCAGTATATACAGGTGGAAATGTGAGACATCATGGAGGTAAACTGAGAGGCAGAAGGAAGAATCTTTTTGTAGAACAAAGAGCACTGACCAGGAGTCAGGAGACCCAGGCTCACTTGTGTCTCAGCATCTTCATCTCTCAAATAAGATCATAATTCTGGCTGGGCCAACCTGACCAGGTAGCACTGAGAATCGAGAACGACAGCACAGCCGGCTACAAAACGTGCTCTACAAACACGGGGAATGCTAGTATTTTGATGTTTGACAAGTCTTACACGTTAATGTTTTACAGGGTTACAAACCAAGGTCTAGAGAGGTGGAATGACTTGAGTCACAGTCAGTGGCAAAGTCTGAAAACAGCAGAGAATAGTCAAGGTAGGACCAGAAAGAGTTTAGGCCTTCTCTTCCTTCACTGGGATTAGAAGATCTGAATTCTCTGTCTGTGTTTGTTTTATTTTTGTTTTGTGAAGCATCAACCGGACATCAGGTCAGTAGAGGAATTAGAAGGAAGGAAGTTAGTTTGTAGAGAGGTGAACCTCAGAAGAGACAAAGAGATAGTTCATGAAAGAAGAAACACAACTGGTCACCATAAATGTTGGGCAAAGGTTAAGCATCATTAGCAATTAAGGAAATACAGAGAACTTTTCAAGATGCCATCTTCTCTTATAAAAATAGGAAAGATATTTTATTTTATTTTTTAAAAAGATTTTATTTATTTATTTGACAGAGAGAGATTCCAAGTAGGCAGAGAGGCAGGCAGAGAGAGAGGGGGAAGCAGGCTCCCCGCTGTGCAGAAATCCCAATGCGGGACTCGATTCTAGGACCCTGAGATCATGACTCGAGCCAAAGGCAGTGGCTTAACGCACTGAGCCACCCAAGCGCCCCGGCAAAGATATTTTAAAAATAAGAATACTCACTATTGGCAAGTGTGCTGGGAAACTGGCACTCTCATACATTGCTGGTGTTAGTATAAAGTGATCTATTTCTTCTAAGGCAATTTAGAAATACGCATCATGAGCCTGAAATTGGTTCATACCCTTTGGTCCGGGAATTCTCCCTTCTAGGAAATTATCATAAGAAAAGAATCACAGATATGCATAAGGCTGTTCATGGCAGTGTGACGTACATCTACTTGTTAAAATTATGGTATATCCATTCACCTAAATAGTATACAACATGTTTACAGCTAACACTTATTTAGCAGTGTACTATTGCCAGACACTGTACCAAGTTATTTAGATACATTATTAATTTAAATAATTCTGTGAAGGCAATATCATTGTCATCTCCCTTTTGCTGATGAGGACACTGAAGCTCAGAGAGGTTAACTCATCCCAGGCCACAGGGTGAGTAGTGTGGGTCTTAATCTATGTCTGTATAATACCAAAGCCAATGGCCTCAAGCATAGTGCTCTGTCACCTTTGCAGCCATTAGAAATCATGTTTTAGAGGAATAGTTAGTGACATTCTAAAATGGCCATGATATAAATGGCCAATGAAAAAAGCACAATGTGATCTGTATCATAGGATGACAACTGGAGATGTATGGATATAGTTTTTTTCATAGAAAAACTAGTGCAAGTCTTCACACTTATTAGTAGTAGCTATTTCTAGGTAGTAGTATTATAGGTTATTTTAATTTTCATCCTTGTGATTTTTTTGGATTTTCCAGTTTTCCTATAAAGAACATGCATTACTTGTGTAGTCAGCAAAAATAAACACGTTAACATAAAAAAGTTCTGAAGGCAAACCTTTTGTAGCCTTCATGCTTATAACACATCTAGAGTAATACTTCATTTCTTATCTGAGTTACTAATTATTTTATGTTGGTGTCAGATAAGAAGGGAACCATCTTTTCAACCATTTTTTGGAGAATGTCTTTGGGCATGAGCAGCTATGTAGCTGTGTAATCTCTTGAAACTCATAAACTGTCCTTCAGACCATAAACTCTTTCATCTTTATGATCTGTAACAGTCCCTAGTCTCAGACCAAGGACCCCTGAGGAGGGGGGAAGGACTCTCAATGCAAGAAGTCCATAGATCTTTAAATGTATTAATGTTTTTTCTCACTCTGTAAGTACTAAAAGTACAGCTACTATTGTAGGTAAGAGTGGGTGAAGTGAAATTCTTTTATTCTTTTAATCTTAAGAGGCCCTTATACCTAAAATGTTGGGAACCACCGAAATAGAGACTAAAATGGTGGCTCTTTAATCATCAACATCAGGGATCAAAGATGCTCACTCCCTACTCTTTGGATCAAGGTTTGCCAGCCCAACATTTAAAGCTATCACTTTTAGCATTTGCAAACATTGTCTTTGTTACCCATTCTCAAACTGTCAACTGATTTGCACATCTAACTTTTTCACTCATGTCTTCCTTTTCTCAGCTCATCTAAAGCTGAATGTGTCTCAAGCATAGCTTATCATGGAACACTGCCCAAGCATGGCTTATTATGGAACACTGTCCTCACCCCCAACCACACCAAATTTGCTCCTTCTCCTGTCTTCCCTCTCTTGCCGTTGGCAACATTATCAACCCAGGTCCCAAATTAGAAACGTTTTCACTCCTCCATCTCCTTCACCCTTCACATTCAATTGATCACCGAGCTCAATGTACTTTACCTCTTTGGTAAGTATTTCATAATCCCTGCTCTCTGCTCCCTCCTCACTGTTGCAGTGCTTGCCCATTAGAAGGTCTTCTCAATGGGTTCTTCCCTAGGGAGAATTACTCCGCAAGGCAGGCAGAGGGTTCTTTCTAAAATGCAACTCTGCTCGAGTCATTCCCCTGCTTAAATCTTCAGTGCCTCCCTATTGCCTACAAGATAAAGCCCAGAATTTTCCACTTATCATTCAAGGCATGACCCAATCTGGGCATGACCAGCCTCATCTGCTGCTTCCCACACCATACATTTCATTTTGTGCTGTTTGGAATTATTATTATTATTATTATTATTATTATTATTACTTTGTCTTTTCTCTCCTGCCTAATGATAATCTTGATTTCTCTTTCATTGCTCACCTTAAGTGTATTTCATCTAGGGAGACTTTTCTTGACATGACCAGATAGAACTAACCTCATCTATCCCTTCACTCCATCCCATAAATACTTCTATTATTAATGCGAGTAGCAGTTTATGGCTTGATTTTTCCCATGTCTATTCTTTCTATATGTGAACTCCTCAGGGGCAGGCACCATGTCTTTTTCATCTCTGTGCCTCCTAAACTCTAGCCAAATGGAACTTATTGTGCTCTGAACATGCTATGCTTTTTTTGGTGACATCCATTTTTGCATAGGTGGGTTCCACTGATGGAACACCCTTCTCCCTTTTTCCCCTTCTCTGCATAGGCAAACATCTACTTGTCCTTTGAGACTTGGCTCAAATGCCTTCTCTCTGAAATCTTCGCACATTCTCAGAGTTAGTCATTCCCCTGTCTGTGCTCCCCAAGCCTTCTGGTCAAATCTCGATTATAGCACTTTTTTTTTTTTAAAGATTTTTATTTATTTATTTGACAGACAGAGATCACAAGTAGGCAGAGAGGCAGGCAGAGAGAGAGAAAGGAGGAAGCAGGCTCCCAGCTGAGCAGAGAGCCCGATGTGGGGCTCGATCCCAGGACCCTGGGATCATGACCTGAGCCGAAGGCAGAGGCTTTAACCCACTGAACCACCCAGGCGCCCCTATAGCACTTTTTACATAAGCATTTTATTATAGTTATGGGCTTATATGACTGCCTCCCCTCATCCCAATCTCCCCCACCCTCTTCTCGAGGCTGTGAGATCTCAGACAGCAAATCATCTATTGTGCACAAAGCACAATAGATAAACACATACTTCTTTGGTCAATAATTAAAGTCTCTTATGGTACATGGCAGCTTGGGAAAAACTACTGGGCAGACCAGTAAGCTTTGAATACTGATTTACATAACTGGTCAAGGCACCATTGGGTATGTGTTGAGTTTGTAGGCCTTTTCTAGGTCTCAACTCTGAATCTCTCCTTGTTGCTTTTCCAGGTGCTTATGGTCAACGGTTGGTGCACTGCCCATTCTCACCCCCCATGAGCCTTGGTTCTGATGCAACCTATGGTCATGCAGGGATGCCCTTATACCCTCCCACGATGTCATGAATGGCGAGCAGCTGACCAGTTCCATCACAACAGCAGCCTCCGAAGCACCTGCCCCCAGCCTCAGGTAAGAGGCTGATAGCAAGACAAAGTCCTGCGGAGAAAGGGTGGACACAGGATCTGTGTGTGTTCTTGTGGGTGTCCATGCTTCCTAAGGCTCTAGGGCACTCTCTATATACCTGAAACCCAGGGGTGGGCAAGGGACCTCCTTCTGGCTCATCCCTTGTCACACATAAAGTCTTTTATAGGGGCACAGGGCAAGGAAATGTGTTGGGCTGGGCTGGGCCCCCATGACTGAGGGGGACTGGTTCCATGTTAACCTCCCAAGGGAGGTCCCAGAAGAGTGACCCTTCAGAGTGTGACCTAGGACAAGGCAGGACCTTTCTTTACCTTAGCTTCTTTATGGCATACTTTACATTCTGCACCTACAAAATATTCTCTTTTCTTCAGTTGGCTCTTCCTCTCAAGTCTTTAGTCTTACAGTTCCTGGCTCAGCCCCGCTAACAGTCTCTTGACCTTCATACCTGTCTCTCCTTTCCTCTCTTCTGCCTAGGAGTGAAAGGGTGGTGCTGTGTGTTCCTGCCTATGTATGTTGGTGGGTGGGCAGAGGATGTATGAGAGGCAGTAATCCCAAGAAAATAGCCCCCTTTCCTGACAATGAGGAAGGTCCATGGGAAGTTAACTGGGCAAGGGGGAAGCATAAACATATTTTGGCTTGTCCTACTGTGCTTTGGGGTTGAGAGGCCATGAGGGTGTGAAAAAGTACTATGTCTCCTAGTATCTCACAGATGGACTGTAATGCTGAGTCACTATTGAGGGTGCAGACAGCAGCAGAGTATACAGGGAGGAAGAAGGGAAGGAGAATGGTCTTAGGGATAGAGAATATGGATGCTGAGGAGTCCATTTTGCCGAGAACCATGAAGGAAAATTTTGGAAAGACATAACAGCCAGGTCTTCTTGAGCCATGCCCCCACATTTAACCAGAGAGAAATTGCCACCTCTAACATATTCTCAAGCCAGTGTCAACTTAGCATCTCCCAGTGTACCTACCCCTTCCCCAGAGCGGGACTGACATAGGGTCAAGGGATTGAGAAGACTGGGCCCTTCCAAAATGCTTGCCCTGCACATCATGCCCCCCCCTCCAAGATTCACCACCTCGGCAGAGGGACCTGAGGGCTTCATTTTGTAATTGAGAAAGCTGAGACCAACCCCTCTCCTCTACCACTGTCCAGTTTCTTCTTTTCCTTCCCAATGGCTCTGACTTTGTCTTAAAGTTTCAAGAGATTAGGAGAGAGCCCTTTGGGGATTGCAGTGAGAAGCAAACATCTTGGCCACAAAAGCCAGAAGTAGAAGGCCAGTGGTAGGGAACGAAAAATGTCATTTCTTATTTGCCTATTGTGTGCCTGGCTCTACTAGAGGGACTTGTGAATATAAGGGGGAACAAGGAAGGGAGAACAAGGTGATGAGATATAGTAGGGGGGGCCAAATGGGGATTTGGGAAATGAAGAAATCTGAAGGGAATGGAAGCCTAACATGGGTGGAGCCCCGTTCATCATGGGAACTTCTCTCAGAAACAGGAACACTTGGTTGTAGCTGGGTCACGAGGAGCCATTTTGAGCTCTGGGGGCATTCCCCATCTAGGGGACTCAGTGAGACTGGCTTGAGCCCGGTTATCCCAGCATCAACAGAGCTGTGACCCAGAACTAGAGCCCCTCCCTGCTCTTGGCCTGCCATCCCCTGCCATCCCGGTTCCACCCAGAATGGCTCCACCCTGGACCCTCAGGAAGGGTCAGGCAGCTGCTCCAACTATTCCTGTAGGTGGGCCTCAGCATGGAAACAATGTGGAACTGTGGAAAGCCCAGAAGACTCTGTGGGAGATAAATGAGGATGGGAACAGAACCCTTTTTGGTAAAAGCAAAGTGTTTTCCCTCAGTGCTGAGTGGTGGGGGCCTAGCTCGGGAATGTTAACCTTTCCCCCAGGCAAGTCTGCTGGAGAAAGAGAAGAGGGGCCACTTCCAGAAGGGGCCCTGCCCCTGAGGCCAGTGGCCCAGGGCAGTACAAGCAGGGCACAGGGGCCTCCCTCGCACTGGATCCCTGCACAGAGCTGCTGGGTTCCATTTTTCCCTCTCCCTCCCCAGCAGAGGTCCAAGGGGAGGCCCCAAGACCCATCTATTTCCCCCTAGCCTTAAAGTGCAGTGAGAATCTGGGGAGGTGGAAAATGACTATCCCTCCATTCCCCTCTACCTCCCAAAGGCAGGGCAGAGCACCCCCTTGTTTCCGCAGTGGGCTTGGATGAATCTTCTGCTGTCCAAATTCCTGATCCTGACTTCCCTTGGCTCTGTCCCCAGGTGTGCCACACCCATTCCTCGCTGCCTCTGGGCACACTTCCTTAAAGACAAGCCCATCCTCCTGCTAGGCTTTGGGGAAGTAGCTTACCAGAGGTTTGTCACCAAAGTGGTCTGATCCTTTCCTCTCTCTGGCGGGGGGGGGGGGGGGGGGGGGGGGGGGGGGGGGAAGGGATGGGTGTGGGGAATGGGGAGGTGGGAGGCAGGGGCTGTAGGCAGTGAGTCCCTTCATGCTGCTGTGGAAAGGGAAAACAGATCAAGAGAAACTCCCCTCTTTACGCCCCTCCTCAGCACCATGGAATGCCCAGTCCCACTCCCGCTGTCTTTGCCAGCCTGGGAGGGCCCTCCTGGCCCCGGTGTGGCGGGCCCAGGCGGGAGTGAGCTGAAATTCCCCAGGGACAAAGCTCTGATTCACCCGCTGAGCCCTGACATAGCCGCCCCCTCCAGATTCCTGGGGGGTCAGTAAACAAACAGGGTGATAGCTCCCGCCTCCTGACCTGGCTCAGCTCTGCAGGCCTCCCCTGAGGGAGCCTGCTTAGAGCCTGTCAGACTCTGCCTGCGGCTCACCAGGCACTGATTCTGCAAGCTGAGGGATAATCATGGAGCTGCCGAGTCCTGCAACCAAGTCTTCAGGCAGCACAGGTAGGGTCAGCTCATGGGGACACAGGGGGACTAAATTCAGAACTTTGCCCTTGAGCTGCATTGCTCCCTCACTTCCCTTTCAGTATGTGGCTGTGAGCTGGGGTTTTAATGGGGTGATTGGTTTCCTAGATTGCCTGGAGAGTCTTGTGTGGGAAGACACTACCATTTGGGGGGAAAGGGAGACTAGAAAATCTCAGGCCTCATCGGAACCATGTTCTTTCTACAGAAGGCAAGCAGGTAGATAGGCGGGCGGGCAGGTGGGTTTCCCCAGGCTGGGATTGAGTGGCACAGGCTGAGATTTCCTCCTCCATACTCTCCTTCCCTCTACCTCCCTCTGCCCCTGGCTGGGCAGTCCTGGCACTGTGCTAGAGGTAGCTAAGTTCTTAAGGGCCATTTGACACAACCTCATTTCCCCAAACTTTTTAAGACCCTTCAGGGCGAGCAAATGATGGGCTCTGAGCTTGAGGGCTCAAGGGCGAGCCTTCGGCAGGCTTCACGGCTGGTCCCCTTACCTGCTGACTCTGGTCAGGGTCCTTTGGAGATCAGGATCAAAAATGTGGCTTTAGCTCTTTCCCATTGTAGATGAACAGTTCTCTTTAGGATGATTTCTAGGCTTTCTGACTGGTAGAAAATGCAGGTGGGGGAAGAGGGAGAGGGGACACCAAAACCTAGATTCATTTGCAAAGTAGGACATCTGTTATCAATGGCTCTCTCTGGCTGATCTATTCTCTCTCCCTGAATCTCTGAGGCAGCCCCTCAGCTTTCTTTTCTGGAAGGTTAGCTAAACTGTGGGACACTGAAGCATGAGCCTATGGCTTACCCTGAATGCTGTGGTTGCCAATGATTGGGCAATTCTGAGCAGCTCTTGTCTAAAGCAAGTACTTCCAGAATCCCATCCAGGCAGTAAGTAGTCTTGGCAGAATTTACAGTAATAAGAGTAATAATGATAGTAGTCAGCAGTTCAAAGTGACTAACCTGTGCCAAGAGAGGACCTTGCGAAGAGCAGAGCCACGGAGGCTTCCTTTATCTCACCCTGCCCCCCGCCCCCCCAAACACACCCTGGGACAAGCCGTTCTCTCCCCTTATTCACATTTGTCCCATCCTTGGCTTGGTGCAGACCAGGGTGTGGCACACTCCGGGGATCACAGAATGTCTGTGTTTCTGTCCAGGTTAGAGCTGCTGCTACCACCCCTGCGCCTCCTCAGGATGGTGCTGGGGTTTCCTGCCTAAGCCCAAAGCTCTTCAACGGGTCTGTTGGTGCCGCTGGATCTCTAGAACCACCAGCCATGAATCTGTGTTGGAATGAAATAAAAAAGAAGTCTCACAACCTCCGGTAAGGCCTGGCCCCTAGAAAGAGGAGACTAAGGCAATTGGCTGGGACAGTGTTGGGCTACTTTTACTGCTGCTGCAACTTACCGTTCTCTTCTCAGCCTGTGTGTCCCCCTCTCGTCAGCCTCATCACCCACTTCTTTTCCTTCTCTGGTCTTTGGAAAGGACCCTGGGTCAGAAGTCAGGAGACTTGGATTCGAGCCTCAGTTTTAAGTAGCTCTGTCACCTTGGATACATGGTTTGGGTTATGGGGATTTCACTTTTATTTTATTTTTTAAGAAAAATAAATGAGTGAAGGAACTGTCCTAACTACCTCACAGTGTTGTTGTAAGGATTCTTTCTTTTTTTTTTTTTTTTTAAAGACAGACAGAGATCACCAGTAGGCAGGCAAGCAGAGAGAGGGGGAAGCAGGCTCCCTGCTAGGCAGAGAGCCCAATGCATGGCTCAATCCCAGAATCCTGGGATCATGACCTGAGCCGAAGGCAGAGGCTTTAATCCACTGAGCCACCCAGGCACCCCTGTTGTGAGGATTCTTATAAGATACAAAAATGCTTTCTGGACTTAAAAGCACTGATGTATAAATGAATGATATGATTACTCCCTCTTCATCTCGTGTTTGCTGTCCAGCTTGGTAGATCTTATCTGCTCTCTTCCCAGTCCTTTTATACCTTCTACTCCCATCCATTGGTTATCAGCCCATCTATTCCTCCCCAGACCAGGGCAAATCAGGCAAATCAGTAAGAGCATGAAAGCCATTCCTATATTGGTTGTTCCTCTTTTCTTTACCCCTCTACGTAACTTACCCCCACACATTTCCTCTCCACTCCCTATTATCAAAACCCAAACTCCTGCCTGTTGTTAGGCTTTGGAATGAGGCAGCATAGAGAAGCTGAAAGAATGCAGGCTCTGGGGTAAATGAATCTGAGTTCAAATCATAGCTCTACTTATGATTTAACTGTGTGACCTTGGGCAAATTACTTAACCTTCCTAGGCAACGGGAGGTTACTTACTTTGCAAGGTTGCTTCTCTGAGAATTAGTGGAAGCGATCATTTAGGTAAGGCCTTAGCCCAAGTGGTAAGGAGGCAATGAATAGTTATTATTGTCAGATAAGGGGAATGAGCTTGATGGCTGTACCTAGGCTGGCCTCCAGCCTCCTACCACTTGGTCCTCAACTCAAGTTTCATTTGGGGAGGGAGGCATACTGAGATGATTATAGTGTGCGCATTTTTCTCCTTCCATGTGTCAACTCTCTAGCCTATGGTGCTGTCATCTTTTAGAACCCTTGGGTTGCATAAATTTGTGTGCGTCCTCATACATGCGAGTGCCCACATTCAGTTGCCTGACTAAACCTTTCTACTTACTATATCCTTTTCTACTCAGAGGTTAGGGTCTGAGAAGCCTCTGTTGATGAGTAATTTAGCATGATTTGAGTTCCTCCAGAGCAAGACAGCAACCAGACAGCTGTCCCCACTAATGCCTTTGCTCAGTTTCCTCCCCAGCCTGATGCTGGGCACACAACTGAATTAACTGACGTCCGCACTGATGCTCCCCACCCATGGACCTCCCCACTGGTTTTTAGTACTGTACTCCCATGTGAAGGTGCCTTGGGAACTTCTGTGGGTGAGGAGAAGGGAGGACTCTGGGCCTCCTCCCACTTCAACCAGAGCAGCTCCTCTTTAATCTGTTTTATGTATTAAAGCTCCACATAAACATTTGGGAAAAGTGTTTTGCCATTTAAAAAAAAAGATTAAAAATCACTGGTCTTATGCCTTGTGTATAGTGCTCGCCTTGAGGCCTTCTCGGACCACAGTGGAAAGCTTCAGCTCCCTCTCCAAGAGATTATCGACTGGCTCAGCCAAAAAGATGAGGAATTGTCAGCTCAGCTGCCCTTGCAAGGGGATGTGGCCCTGGTGCAACAGGAGAAGGAGACACATGCGGTAGGTTTGAGTTATGGAGGCTGTGGTGTCTAGCCTTTCAGCTGGGAAGGGATATTTTTTGCAGGATTCTGACAAATGGGCCCCTAGCCTGTGCTTAGACACCTGAAGTAACAAGAGGCTGGATCCAGTTTACTGTTTTGGACTCTACCAGAGTAAATCAAACCTTTTCTCCCCAGCCCTTTCATCAGAAATTGGCCTTCTTTCAAATCCTGCCCGATTTTTAGTGGGCACATGGGAAAATGAACATAATACAATGTTAAGTGAAAAAAAAACATAGGATACGAAGCTATATAAAGGTGGATCTCAATTGTACAAAAATTTATATAGATGTGTGTGCATGTATACACACATACAAAAACATAAGAAGGAACTATATAAAAAATTCACAATGGTTAAGGCTAGGTGATGAAATTAGAGTTCTTTCTAATTTTCTTCTTCATACTTTTCTGAAATTTCTAAGATTTTGGTGACATATATTACCTATTGTAATCAGAAACTAGCAATATTTCTTCCTTTTTCTTTTTTTGAAGATTTTGTTTACTTATTTGACAGAGAGAGAGAACACAAGTAGGCAGAGAGAAAGGGGTAAGCAGGCTCCCTGCTGCGAGGAGAGCACAATATGGGCCTCAATCCCAGGACCCTGAGATCATGACCTGAGCTGAAGGCAGAGGCTTAACCCACTGAGCCACCCAGGCACCCCAACAGTTATTTCTTAAAAATGAATACAGGATGCACTAGAAGAAATACTTATGTGATAGAGCAGAGGTGTAGCTAAGGTGACAATGGCAATCACACTGCAATATAAATGTATCAAATCAATATGTTGTATACCTTAAATTTATATAATCATACATGTCAATTTATCTCAATTTGAAAGGTGGATGCAGAATGGAATACAGTACAGCAAGAAAATAAACTTTAACCCCATGGCACAGCATGGATGACTCTTAAAAGCAGTATGTTTAGTGAGAAAAAGCCAGATACAAAAAGAGTACATACTGTATAATACCATTTACATAAAGTTCAAAATGAGCAAAACTAATCAGTGGTATTACAAGTCAGGACAATGGTTACCTAAAGGGGAAGAATGAGATAGTGACCAGAAGGGGCCACCGAAATGTGCCTTCTAGGATGCTGATGGAGTTCTGTTCTTGACGGAGTTCAGTACTGATTTCAGATATAGAATCACTTTATGGAAATTCCTCAAGCTGTCCACTTTTGATTTGTATACTCTTCTCTATATTTCAACCAAAAAATTAATTAAAATTATAATGTAAATCCTACATATCTGGTTTTGATTTCTCTAAGCCCCTCATCGGGAACTTTCTGGGTCTTCCAGAGAACCAAGATTCCCAACCCCAAATCTCCATATTTCTCTCTACCTTGCGGCATATACAGACCCATGTCATTCTAAAGAGACCTCTCAGTGTCAGAGTCATTTTCTGCCTACACGGAGGACTGCACCTCTTTCTGTCTGGGTAGCCCGAAGATACATGATAATGCTAAAGGATCAAGTTGCACTGAAGAGAAGAAAGGTCATCAATTACAGAATGGAATTTAAAGCAATGGAAAAATTTTACTTCCCTGTTGACCATGTTGCTAAACTTCATAGGCCTTTATGGAAGATGTCAAGTCTCGGGGCCCCTATATCTACTCTGTGCTGGAGTCAGCTCAGGCCTTCCTGTCCCAGCACCCATTTGAGGAATTAGAGGATCCTCGTTCTGAGAGCAAAGGTGGGTGGTCTTCCCCTCTTTTGCCTTCTTAGCAATGAACTTCTAAACACCCTCCTGCCTTCCCCAAACTCATTTTCTCAGCTGTTATCTAGGAGGATAATTTTCTCTTAGGGGTCCAAAGTTGGGAAGGAGCAAGATTCACATTGCAGGAAAAAGCAAAGAGAACAGAAGCTGGAGTGGGAGAGACCAATGTGTGGCCCAAAGCTGTATGTGGCTCTGTGGAGCATCATCTATGGCCTTCTAATGAGACATAAAAAGGAAAAAAACACAAAGGACTCGAACCCATTGAGCTGACTTAGTGAATGAAAGTAGTAGTAGTATGTCCTTCAAAAACGTACTGCTTCATTCCAACATAGACATGAGGTGATGTGCTAACAATAAAAAAATCTTTCTAAAATCTAAAAAGTTAGGTGATGACACTTCAGGAAAAAAATTATTGTGCCTTCTGGTCCCTTTCCTCGGTAGAGTAGGCCACTCTAGGTCTAGGTTTAATTAAGGTAGCAGTGGGAGATTCATGGTGATTGGGTATGAGTGGTAGCCCAGCAGGCCCTCTTCTCCAGGAAGAGTCCTCAGCTTCTCAATACTGGCTATGAATGGCCTGGAAGAGCCCTTTTTTAACTGAGTCCTTTGTTAAAGCTTTGACTAGCTCTGTTTACTTCCAGCCCCTCAATAGGAGGCTAGTAGTCAATTTACTGACCAGGGGGCCTCAGATAGGACAAGCCTGGAGTTTTGGGGGTCTAAATATCCTCCTGAGGGGAAATCTGAGGGAGGAAGAAGCCTCCAATTTAGATGCCTAGATGGAAAAGCTGGGCGAGTTATGCTAACCTCTCCTGGGCATAAAATGCCTCACTGGTTTGGATGGAAGTGGGCAGCAGACACTAACACAAAATAACGTTCTAGAGTCATGTGAATAGAACTCTGGATGATTTGCCTCGCTGCACCTCTTAAAATATTTTACTCATAATCTACCTTGCCCGTTTTCTGAGAATATGAGGAAATCCTCATAGTAGGGGGAAAGTAACAACATGGTCTCTTGACTGTGGTGGGGGATCCATGAATCAACACATGTGATAAATCACGCAGTGCTAAGTATACACACACACACACACACACACACACACGCATAAACACACACATTTTACAAAGGTCTATCTTTGTCTCTGTCTTTCCCTGGGCTGCCCCTGCCAGGTTGGCCTGACCCGGCTTCCTCCTTGCTCTTACAGATACCTCTCCCAGACAACGGATTCAGAACCTTAGCCGCTTTGTGTGGAAGCAAGCAACAGTAGCCAGTGAACTATGGGAGAAGCTGACAGCCCGCTGTGTAGACCAGCACCGCCACATTGAGCGCACTCTGGAGCAGCTGTTGGAGATCCAAGGAGCAATGGAGGAATTAAGCAATACTCTGACACAGGCTGAGGGAGTCCGAGCCACATGGGAGCCCATTGGGGATCTCTTCATTGATTCACTCCCTGAGCACATTCAGGCTCTTAAGGTATGCAGGCCTGTAGCCTGACTATGGTCCACCCTGAGACCTAACACTCCTCCCAGTCCCTGCTACTGAAGCTTCACTTCACCTACAGAAAGGTGGACCAGACTGCAACTGAATCTTTCCCAGTTTATGTGCTGGATTTGGGGGCTGGTTTAGCTGGAGTCTCTCCTCTGTCCTTCCACTGTCTTCTCTTTCCCTGCTGTTTTCTGAGAGTTGGAAAGGAAGAGGATAAGGACAGTGGCCGCCCACACCTGAGTCCAAATGGCCTAATAGCAAGCACCTGGGTCGTGCTGTTGAAACAAAAATTTGTGGGTGAAGAGGGAGGACTTGTGGTGAATGACTAATGGTTCCTCTTTCCCACTCTCTGATTGCTGTGGGACTTGGGTTCTGGTTCTATAGCTGTTCAAAGAAGAATTCTCCCCCATGAAAGATGGAGTGAAATTGGTGAATGATCTGGCCCACCAACTTGCCATTTCTGATGTACACTTGTCAATGGAGAATTCCCGAGCCCTGGAGCAGATCAATGTCCGCTGGAAACAACTACAGGTAGAAGAGAAGCCTGGAGTGAGCCATAGGGAAGAGCTTTGATGTAACTAGGTTTGGGGGAAATATTCTTCAGGCCAAAAGAAAGTGAAAGGGCATTAAAGTGGGACCTACATGGGAAAAGAATTGTAGAGAGTTTCGGGCCAGGGAACAGACTTCTCAACCTCTAAGCTGCAGGGAGTAATTGAAATGAAGATCTGAGAGGGGCCTGTCTAAATGCAGGCATTCAGGTGGACAGGGGCAGATGAGGAGTGACTATGGCCTGGAATTAAGGATGCTCTTCTCTGACCCTTGGGAGTGATGTGGAAGGGCCAGAAGATAGTGACCATGGGAGGAGCTAGCCTGTAAAGGACTTCACAAAGATTTCCAGAGGTGCCTGGAAATCCTACACTAAATCTCTGGAATGAACTCACTTACTCTCTGCCTCTTTCCATAGGTGTCAATTGGTGAGAGGCTTAAACAGCTCCAGGATGCCCACCGGGACTTTGGGCCTGGGTCACAGCACTTCCTCTCCTGTACGTGAGACAAACTAGACTTCACTTAGCAGAACCTCAGCTACCTTCCAAGAGAGTCTACTCTCATCCCTTCAGGGCCTGGTAGGAGCCCAGGATATCCTGGCATCCAAGAAGCTATAAGGATAAAGCAGCCTAGTAGAGCGGTTGAAAAGACAGGCTCTTAGGTCAGAGAGGCCAAGTCCAAGTCACTGCTCCTTGACTTAATAGCTGGGCAAGCTTGAAAAAAACAAACATTTTAACCTTTCTGACCATCAATTTTCCTGATATGTAAAAAGAGGACAAAATATTACGTAACTCATAGGGTTATGGAAGTTAAATACCTTCATTTTTTCAACATTTATTGAAGACCTAATGTGGGCCCTCATAGTGTTTCAGGCATTGGTGCTACCTCAGTGAACGAAACAGACACAAGTCTTTAGACTTGTAGAGCTTATCCACTAGTAAGGAAAGCCGAAATGTAAACAAGTAAGTGCAGTATATATATATTGCACTTACTTGTTGACAAGTGCTGGTGACAAGTGCTGTGGAAGAAAGTAAAGCAGAGAAAGCATGAAAAGGCAGTGCTGTACTCGATGAGGGAGGCATTGCAAATTCAAATAGGATAGTCCAGAAAGATATCACTGAGAGTAGCACAATTGAGTAGAAACCTCAGGGACACAAGGGCATGAGCCCCGTGGATATCTGAGGGAGGGAAGAGCACACCAGGCAGAGGGAATAGCAACTTCTAGGACCTTAAGGCAGGGACATGCCTGAGGAACAGGAGGAAGGCTGGTGTAGAAGTATTACAGAGAGGAGGAAGTGGGAGATCAGAAGGGTAGCAGGAGACCAGGGCACAGAGTACCCTTGTAGGGCATGGTCAGACCTTGGAATTATACTCGAAATGGCATTGGGAGACTTTGGAGGGGTTTGGGCAGAAAGATGACATGATCCGACAGTCAGGGTGTTGGGGGGCAAAAGCGGGAGCAGGAAGACCTGTTAGGAAGCATATGATAATCATCCAGGTGAGGGATTATGGTGACCCAGGTCAGATGGCAGCAGTGGAGATGGTGAGAATATACAGATATGAAAATCAGCTATGCGCGCAAAGCACTTAGCACAGTCTCTGGCTCATAGTGGGAACTCAATAAATATGAATGGCGGTTAGAACTCTTGCTCTTATAATCACTGGCATGCAGCTCTACCTCCAGTGGGCTCTTATACAAAGGGAAACTGTAGTGAGGAGGTTGGCCAGGTCACGAAACCCTCCTTCCATCTGGAAGATACAGCCATGGAGCAGAGAAAGGCATCCTTTTCCAGAATTCTTCGCCAGAGGGAAACGGGCAGTAGCATTCCCCATTGCACCGCAGTACCAAGAAGCTTGACCTCGTGAAAGAGGTCAAGGGCTTTGAGGGTCCACTTAGTATCCACAGCAGCACAGAATGGGTAGAAATTGCAGGCTTCTCAGGGAAGAGATCGTCAGGGTGGCTGAGGCCGGGTATTCCTGTTCAGGCCCTTGCCGCCTCTCTGAAACATGAGGGTGTCGGTGACAATTTCTTCTTTCCTTGGCCTAACATCAGGGAGAGAGTGCGTTCATCAGTTTTTGCTGCACCTTCAGGGGCTGTTAAGAGCTGGCAGGGCGTCAGGCCTCCCCTTTTGGGCTTTACCACCCACTCAGGAGGAGAGTGCAGGGGAGTCCCTGGGGATCTAAAGAGCATAAGCGGCCAACTTCTTTCTCTCTTTCTCTTCTCTTCTACCAGCCTCTGTGCAGGTTCCCTGGGAAAGAGCAATTTCACCCAATAAAGTTCCCTACTACATCAAGTGAGTGACCATCTGAATTAGAAGTGGGTCATTCACCTGCCCACAACCCCTCCCTTGCCTGTCTTTTTTTCTCCCTATCCCTCCTTATCTGTTGGGATTCCTCCATCCTGTCCGGGTTTTCCTCCTACTCATCTCAAGAGCTCAAGATTCTACCTGGCTAAAGGTGAATACTTGTGCTTTGGGATCATCATGGGTCACCCTGGGATCCGGCAGCTCCTTGCATTTAACCTATCACCAAGTGACACACACATGTGGGGGGGGGGTTGTGGGGGGTGGCTTGGACCCTGGTATTATTGATGCCTCTGTTTGTAGCCACCAAGCTCAGACCACTTGCTGGGACCATCCCAAGATGACGGAGTTATACCAAACCCTGGGTAAGAATTCGGGGTTCCTGTGTAGGGTGGAGATCTATACAGCTGCCATTTCCCTATAAGAACAGAAGGGAATTCCATTCAGCAAGCAGGCGGGGGTGGAAGTGAGTGCCTTTTCATTTCTCCAGCAGCCTTCCTTCCTTTCCCCTCTGTAGCCCCCTTCAACTGGAGGCTCTACATTCCTCCTGGACCATTTTACTATCACATTAGGGAATTTTGCTCAGAGATGTGAATCAGATCTGCTTTGAAAGACACTGTCCAGACTATGATTAGTGTGACTTTCGTGCACCTTAGTGTTGGCTATTAAGAGAGAGTCACCATTAGGTTGCAGATATTATCCGTGTTGATGCATGTGAATATGGTTCATTCATTCTCCCTGCTGTAGAGTGTTCCATTATATGTATACACCACAGTTTCTTCATCCAGTCTACTGTTGATAGACTTTTGAGTTGTTTATCATTTGCAACTCATTAAGGACAGTGCTGCTAAGGAGCTCTTGTACACACGTTCTGTGCATGTTTTTCAGTCTATAGGTCTAACAGCATTTCAGTGCATTGTAAATAGACTAGGAAATTTGAAAGCCCAACAGATCCTTAGCAAGAGTCATATTTACTAGTAATTTGTTATGTTTTTACTCTATCAAATCGAGCAAGATATTGCTTCCTGAAATGTTTGATTCAGTTATTTATACATGCACACATGGGTGTAATATTGGACCATGATGTCCAATGAATGCATGTCTTACCATGCATCTTGGTCAATAAATGTTTGAAAATCACTGCTCTAGGATACACAGCCAGCTGGGCTGTAGGCTACATGAATGTTCAATTTTACTATGTAATGCCAAGTTGTTTTCTGAGGTGATTGTATCAGTTTATGCTTCCACCAGCCTTACTCATTTATCCATGTCTTTTTTGACACCTGCTATTATTAGACTTTTATTTTGTGCCAAGCTGGTGGGTGTGATTTGGTATCTTGTTGTGGTTTTAATTTGCATTTCCTTGATCTGAGTGTGGCTCTTTCCATTCTTTGCAGCCGATCTGAACAACATTAAATTCTCAGCTTACCGCACTGCCATGAAGCTACGTAGAGTCCAGAAAGCACTGCGTTGTAAGTTTCCCATTGCACATCTCCGTGCCCTTCACCCCACTCCCACTCTTCCTCATCTGTTTGGCTGTTTTCCAGTTTTATCCCGTCTCAGCCCCAGGGTGCTGACTGACTTGGTGGGAATTCTCCAAAGGCTGAGAGATGCTGGCTGTGGGTACCTGCTTTTTCCAGGCACCTTCCATTGTCCCCAGACCCCAGACTTGTTTCCAAAGTAATCCATGATCATCATCATCCTTGTCCTTTCTGTGCCCAACATGGAGAGTCAAGCAACTGTTTTGTGACAGAAAGTATCCCAGCCCAAGCTTTGGAGCCATCTTGCCCTCTTGGAGTTACTGAACATGGCGGAGCTATTGAAGCAAGTGCCAGTCATTACTGGGAAACGTGGTTGTAGATAAAATGTGCTCTCTGGCCTTTCCCAGGGACACAATCCGTTCAATATTCCTAGCCCAGGCATGTCTGGCTAGGCTGATTCCAGCTTTGGGGGTAATGAGAAAGTCTATTTACCCGGGCATACCTGAGCCTTCATAACTGGTATCTCGATCCTCAGAACAAGGTTCACAGACAAACCTATTTGCTAGTGAAATGTGTGTGAAGGCAGAGAAACTTAAAATGGGATTTGGCCCCTTAGGAGTTAATATAGCAAAGGAGGTGAATTTCCTCACATCCTACCATCTTCTTGAAACTGATGTCAGGCTGGTGACTAGAACAAAGCCATGTGCTAGATTTAGGGTATATTTTGATTAGAAGAAATTGTATCCCAAAATTTTAAAGGAAAAAAAAAACTATATGTATACAAAAAATAAGGTTAAATACAATGAAGGGATAAAATATGACTACAACAATGAAAATTTTAAAAGATTTTAAAAATGCATTGATACGATAAAATAGTTAAAAACATTAAAATAGGAAAGAGGAAAAATTTTAAAAATAGAATAAGAAAAATACAAAATTTTAAAAATTTAACTTTGAAAGACTAAAGGATCATGGGGAAAAAAACATGAATTCTATTTGAAACTGATGTCAAAGAACATAGGAGTATATACACATTTTGGGTTAATTTAGGGAGCCTTTTGCTGCCATCCCCCTCTTTGGGATAAGGGTCTCGGTGAAGGGCAATCTTGTATCTACTTACAAATGGTGGGTCTGGAGATCGAGTCAAATTTGGTGATGCTGGTGTGTTAACTTCTTGATTAGACTTGGAAGTTCTGCTCTTGGCTATCCTTTCCCCATTTCTTTTCCTCCCCAGTGGACCTGGTAACTTTAACCACAGCCCTGGAGATTTTCAATGAGCATGATCTGCAGGCCAGTGAGCATGTCATGGACGTGGTAGAGGTCATTCACTGCCTCACAGCCTTATATGAACGGCTAGAGGAGGAAAGAGGCATCCTGGTCAACGTGCCACTCTGTGTGGACATGAGCCTCAACTGGCTCCTCAATGTTTTTGATAGGTAAGGGCTGCTATCCCTGGAAGCCTCCAAGATGGAATCCAATGGGACCATTGGAGGTGGGCATGGTGAGAAGGGGTTGTTCCCACAGTGGACTTGGACTTAGCTCAGCGTGGGACATGGTTGGCACAGAGCCCTAGTGGGATCAGCTCTGTGAGGGAAATTAATGCCAAGACATTAACTTGTTCTGTGTATTCGTGTTCTCAGTCTCTTCTCTTTAACCTAGTGGTCGCAGTGGAAAGATGCGGGCATTGTCTTTCAAGACTGGCATTGCATGCCTGTGTGGCACGGAAGTGAAGGAAAAATTACAGTGTGAGTATACCTCCACAGTCTGGAGTGGAGTGGGGCAGAGGGAGAGGTGTAGTGGCTGGAGGAAGGGTGGAAATAAGCAGAAGGTAGGTCTTAGGACTCAGCAGAACATGACTCAGGCTACATTATAATGGTGGTCCAGGCTATTGCAAAGAATGCATGACAGCTGAAGGTTAAGATGGGTATAAGGCCTGCTGTTACTTCCAGTGTCACTCCAAGGGGGTTGGCTTCATCTGATCCAATGTAATTACTTGACCAAGTTCTGAGTGGGCATACTGGGGTATCCAAGAGCCCGACTTTCTGGTGCCCTTCCCTTGTGGCCTATTGGGCTTAGCCCTCTCCCAGTCTGAAGGTCAATTGTCACACATTCTACTGGAGACTTCCCATGTGATTTCATGGGTGGGCACGCTAATCCCCATCAGGATTATTATTGGGAGGTAAATAGTATATGTGTCTGCAGTTTGTAACCTCTTTGGTTTCTAGTACTTTTCTTCTTCCCCTCTATCCCCCGTCTTCACTACAGCATTTTGTGCTTTTCTGTACTAAGTGCGGTAAGCACAAGGTTCTATTAGACATGATCCTTGCCTCAAGTTGTTGACAGTCCAGAGGAGGAGATGGAAGTCCACAGAAAGCATTATCGAAAGGGCTAATTAGAATAATCTGAGTGGCAAAGGGTATGTGCTATATCAGATCACAGAAGAGAGATGACAGGGGTCTGGGAAAGCTTTGCAGGGAAGGAGACAAAGCAAAGCAAATTCATAGCAATGACATTATTGATTTCTCCCAACATTCCTCTGAGAAAGACTGGACAGTGATTATTTCTCCTGGATTTACAAGCAAGGGAACTGCAGCAGAGAGAGGTTTCTGACTTACTCAAGGTCCTCCAAGCTAGTCAGTCATGGATCCAGAACTAAAACTCAGGCTATCTGCCTTCTACTTCAGAGTATTTTCTAAGCCATACATCATGTATGAGACAGACAAGAACCTTTGAAGGAGCTTTTCTAAGGTTGGGATCGGGCGGGAGTAGTTCTCACAGGGCAGATATAGCCCATATTCAAATATAAATACCATAGTCTATTCCACAATCACTTAGAGGTAATTCTTAGATGATCATCTCCTCTTTGGGGATTATTCATGCCAGTGTTTCTTTCCATTTGTGTGGAGAATTGAGAGCTTACTGCAGTGTCAGGCTCCATGAGCTACACAAACAGGAGGGGACTCATGTTCAGGCACCCTTAAGTCCCACACCCCTCCATCTTGCTTCTTGAGAATCTGTTTTCCCAGCAGTGTCATATCTGTATCTGGCATAGGTCTCAAATGCACCCTGCTCTCTGTCTATATCTCTCCCTCTGTTTATGATGTTCTCTCTCTCTCTCTCTGCATCTGTCTCTCCTTTTCTCTCTGAACTCAGAGAATGCTCATTTTAGAACTCATGGGTCTTCTAGGAGGTCAGGGAGGGACCTTTAAGTATTCCAGTTTTGAAAGTCATTAGCTAAGTCAATGTGCTCTTTTCCTGTCTTTCTTTTCTGCTCCTTCTCCTTACACCATTCTCTTGCCATTCCTGCTTCGGGGTTGGCCATGACTTACGGTACGGCCAACAGACCTCTTCAGCCAAGTAGCCAACTCAGGCAGCCAGTGTGACCAGCGCCACCTCGGTGTCCTGCTCTATGAGGCCATTCAGGTGCCCCGTCAGCTGGGGGAAGTGGCAGCCTTTGGGGGCAGCAATGTGGAGCCCAGTGTCCGTAGTTGCTTCCGTTTTGTGAGTATGGAACTGGGGAGGGTTGATGAGAGGGAGGGTGGAAAGTAGGGAGGGAGAACTAAGAGCGAGGCTTCTGATATGAGATGAACTACTCAAATGTAAAGGAGTTTGTTCAGATGGAACAACAAAGAAGAGGGTTCTCTGGACTTTTAAGGTCAGAGTCCTGCTTCTGGGGGGCTTGCTAGCTCAACTAGGACAAGGCAGAAGGTGGACACCTCTGTAGAAAAGGCCATGGGCTAACCCAGGTCTTGCTGGTTCTCCTGCCCCTCTGTGGGCTGCCATTGTGGGGACAAGGGCCTCAGTCATTGTCATTGGGTTTCTTGTTTCCCTAGAGCACTGGGAAGCCAGTCATTGAAGCTTCACAGTTCCTAGAGTGGGTCAACTTGGAGCCCCAATCCATGGTGTGGCTGGCTGTTCTGCATCGGGTCACCATTGCTGAGCAAGTGAAGCATCAGACCAAATGCTCTATCTGTAGGCAGTGCCCCATCAAGGGCTTCAGGTAGGGAAGGCAACACCTGTGGACTGATAATAATAAAGAGGCCACATTACATATAGAATCATAGATTATGAAACAACATATTCCATAATTATATAATTACAGCTCATCCATGACACGCCATTCTATATTGTTGTAATCCTTTCCACTGCAGAATGTTTGACATCTTAAAAAATCGGAAATGGTGAAATACTTCTTTTGTTTTCATCTGTCTTATGAAGTATTCCAGACCTACAAAAAGATGTACAGAAAAGTGAAAGGGGGTGGGATGGGGAAACAGCACTGAGAGGGAAGTCATTTGTTCATTGTGTCCCAGGGAATGTTAAGTAGAACCTGGAAGCCCTGGCATCCTGACGTATAAGAAGAACACCTCTATACAAATGGTATGCTGGCAAATGGTTCACAGTGGACTCCCCAGAAAGCAAGAAAAACAAACAGAAACCCAAAGCTGATTTTTAGTATTTGCTAATTTCCATGGCATAAATCCTCCCACTGTGGCTGATGTCTAGCTACCCACAAGAGGTTGAGAAAAGATGCATGGTTGTATATTAGTTTTTTTAAAAGACTTTATTTATTTGTCAGAGAGAGAGAGAGAGAGCGAGTACAAGGAGAGGGAGTGGGAGAGGGAGAAGCAGACTCCCTGCTGAGCAATGAGCCTGACGTGGGGCTCAATCCCAGCACCCTGGGATCATGATGTGAGCTGAAGGCAAATGTTTAACTGACTGAGCCACCCAGATGCCTCTGGTTGTATACTATTGACAGCATTTCCACATTGCAGATATGCTAGTGCTAGACTGAACCTCAAGAGTGTAGATAATAGAAAAATAATCAGGAGAAAAATAATCAGGATGTGATGAGTTCTGAGTATTTGCTACCTCTGGGGTATTTGTTACACTGCGGTATGCACCCACCAACAAGCTGAAGAAAGAAAGTGTGATCACAATACATTTAAAGTTTCCCTAGTTATATTCCCCTTCTCCTCCCACTACCCTGAATTTGGCTTTCATCATAAAATGCTCAAGTTTTCAACTTTTGAAAGCATGAAAGCATTCTCTTTACAAGCTGATTTTTATAAGCAAATGAGGCATGCAGGTGGTGTGTTACTTGCCCAAGTTCACACAGTTGGTGAGTGTAGATCCGGGACTAGATTTTGGATCCTCTGACTTCTCTAAGTCTAGGCATTTCACCTTTCTGTATTACTCGGTCTGAGCAGTTCAGCCAGGCTTTGGACCTGGATCTGAAGGGCTAGTCAATATTCAGTAATAATAGGATTATTATTATATTTATTAATTATTATTTTTTTTTTTAGACAGAGAGAGAACATGAGCAGTGGTGGGGGGCAGGCAGAGGGAGAGGGAGAGAGAGAATCCTTAAGCAGGCTCTATGCCCAGAGTCAGCCTGACACGGGGCTCAATCTCACAACCCCAAGATCCTGACCTGAGCTAAAATCGAAAGTCAGACACTTAACCGACTGAGCCACCCAGGCACCCTGAGTTGTTATTATAAACAAGTTTTGGAAATAACTTAGCCAACTTTCCCAGGGCTGGTAGAATAAGATCCTTCATCCTGGAAGTGTAACTTTTCCAACGTAGGTGGTGATACCCGTGAGACAGGACCCTTCAGAGACTTCTTCTTTTAGAAAGCTATTTGAGGGGTGCCTGGGTGGCTCAGTTGGTTAAGCATCTGCTTTTGGCTCAGGTCATGATCTCGGGGTCCTGGAATCGAGCCCCACATCAGGGTCCCTGCTCAGTGGAAAGCCTATTTCTCCCTCTCCCTCTGCCCCACCCCCTGCTTGTGCTGGCTCTCTCTCTCTTTCTCAAATAAATAAATATAATCTTTTTTTAGAAAAAGCTATTTGATATCATGAGCTCTTTATCCCTGCCCACTGCCTCCTTTTTGAAAAAAGATGGTAAGGCAGTGCTGTTTCCCACACTTCCTGGGACTCTGAGCATGTAGATTTCATGGAGGCTTATGGTCTTTAGAATACAGCTAGTCATCTAGTGAGGACGCAGCCACTGTTATGTGTGGGAGGTTGAGCCCATTATGACACCATGCCTTGCCTACGTCTAAAGTGTGTGCATATATCTGGAAGTTAGGGAAATGGGGAGGTCACTAGGGTACGTTGGATTCTCTGTCCTAACCACCTCTCATCTCCCCAAGGTACCGGAGTCTGAAACAATTTAACGTGGACATCTGCCAGACATGCTTCTTGACAGGAAGGGCCAGCAAAGGCAACAAGCTTCACTACCCCATCATGGAGTATTACACCCCGGTACGGAGCCTCTGGGTGGAGCAGGAGGGGGAGGCAGCAATCAGGTTCTAGGTCCTTGATCCACTTGGCGAAGCATGGGCTAAATATATTCCGCTCTCCTTTGAGGAACATTCTCCCAACAGTCCTGGTGATTCACCAGTTTGGGGGATTCCTGGCTATAGCATCCCAGGACACTCATGGCCATTTAAATAGCATTTACTATTTTCATGCTGAGCAAAGTCTCGGGAAAAAATAGAGAGAGCAAGGCAGTTCCAGGCAACTGGCCTTCCTTCCATTGCTTACCTGCCTAGCTAGCTTCCTGCATTGTTCCCATTACCTGGTCTTTACCTGCTACTTTGTCATTTCTTCCATCCCTGCTCATCAATTCCAAAGTTTGTGCTCAAAATAATTACTTAGTCTCTTGGAGGTTTAAAAAAAAAAAAAGAGTATATTCTTTACCCGGGTCCCCAAATTCCACTTGGTTTTCATTGGAAACTGTGCCCTTCATAGCCACCTGAGCCCAGGTTGGTCAGCATTCCTGACTCCACACACAAAATTTCTTCTCTGCTATGTTCTGGACCCATAGCTCCAAAGTTAGCTCCCTGAGTGGGCTCTACTCCCCAAACTCTTTTATCCCTTTCTGCCCCACGGATGCTCTCAAAGTCCCCATCTTTCAACATGGTTTCCCATAATCCATCTCTCCACATCGTCATCTCTTTTCCAGAGTCTGTTATCACAGGAACGTGTGTGACCCAGTGGGAGCAGGGGGCTTGCCCTTTATTTTTATTTTATTATCATTTCAAAATAATCATACAGAGAAACCTAGCTTGAGATGGCAGACTGATAATCCTCTACCTCCTCCTCATCTTCTACACCCCCAGGAATTATATCAAGATATTTTAGAAATTAACAAATTTATGCTTACTATAAAAGATTCAAATTCTGTAGAGGTGTATAAAGTCGAAAACGAAAGTCCCCCTCTCTCAGCCTCACCCCCAACTCTCCAGTCTAACTTCTCAGAGGCAACCGGTGTTCGCAGTTTGGCAGTATATCCTTTTCGGTCTTTCTCTGGGAGTGGGGTGTGGTAGACCTGAGTAAGAGTAGATGACCCGTCATGTTCCCTGCTCTAGGGGGGCCTCCCCACTTCCCCAGCATCCCAAAGCCATTGGGATGAGTCCCTCTGCCCTATATCCCCCTAGACCACATCCAGCGAGAACATGAGGGACTTTGCCACAACCTTAAAGAACAAATTCCGCTCAAAGCATTATTTCAGCAAACACCCTCAGCGAGGTTATTTACCTGTGCAGTCGGTACTGGAGGCTGATTACAGTGAGACGTGAGTACCAGGGGCTGGGGGGGTGGGCGGCTGGGGGCCCTGCTGAGCTGGGATGGGATGGGATGCCCTGTATAGGGGTCAAGCCCCCTGGATGGGCTAGAGGGGTGTTCAAAGCAAACCCGACTAGCAACAGAGAAAGTCAGCTTGGGCCTGACTAGGGAGCTGGCCTGAGAAATAGATTAGAATCCAGTCTCTGTGTCCAGTTCCCATCAACTCTTACCCATCTGCCTAGTTCGGTGTTGGGGGTGGTGCTCAGAGAGGGTGGTGACAAGGAAACAGACAGCTCCGCTGCCCATTCCTTGGTCCTCTGAGTCCACGGCTTTCTTCTAGGCTGGCTTCTTCCCCAATGTTGCCACATGCTGACACACACTCCCGCATTGAGCATTTTGCCAGCAGGTACTGCCAGGTTTGGGGGAGGGAGATTTTAAAGAGTCTAAGGGGGAGGGGGTCTTCAGTGAGGGCAAAGAGAATGGAGTCAAGACCAGGGGGGTGTGCATGGTGGGATATGTGGCAGCCAGCGAGGCCCCACACTCAGGGGTGGTTGGGGCAGCCCCTGAAGCTGATGATCCTGCTGTGGGATTTGAGTCCTTGAGATGAAAGCAGGCCCCACATCCTGCGTTCCTTTCTGTTCCTGCCCTTCTTCTCAGGCTTGCTGAGATGGAAAGTCAGAATTGTTCCTTCTTTAATGACAGCCTGTCCCCAGATGACAGCATGTAAGTATTCACAGCTGCTTATTTGCCAGGAATAGTTCTCCTTTGGATCCCTCTTCTACTGTTTGGGAAGGATGTATCCTCAAGGGGAAGGACGTGTGGTTGTTAGGATCCTTGAGGCCCCAAGGAAGGAAGGCTGCTTTCTGGGCACAGTGTTTAGTAATAGAAGCCCTCTATCCACTGAGCTGCCATCTGCCCATGTCCCTTCCTCTTGCAAGAGCCTGTCCTTCCATGCCTAACTCTGAAGGTAGAAGAATGTGCCCTCATCTAAAGTCGCAGAAATGAGCCATTATCTTCTGCTCAAAGCCCTGTCCAGTGCCACACCCCAGGGAGACACTGCGGACTGGACTGAAGTATGACCAGAGAGATTCCCTGGTGCTATAGCTCAGAGAAGGGACCCTTATCCCTAGAGAGGTCTCTGGCAAGCTTAGAGGGCTTAGGAGCTACTGCCTAATGGCTCAAGCCGGCCCTGATGGGAACTTAGGCAGTGAGTACCCTCAGGGGGTGAGGAAGCTAAGGATGAAGCAGTCAGGGAACAGCACAGACTGGGAAGTGACTGGCTCATTGCTTAGGTAGAACCCAGAAGCCCCAGCATCCTGAAAACACTGACTCCTCTACCCTCAACCATGACCTCTGCCACCTTTAAACACTTTCATCCCTCTTAAACCTGAATATATAGACTTTCCCTCTCTCTGTGACTTAGAAGTGAATCTTCCAGCCTATGTCTCCTGGGGCCTGAGCTGGGAGCTGAGAAGTCATGCCCTGAGATGTTTTTTGGTTCACTGCCTAGCCACCTCCTTTTCTGTCCCCACACCCACACAGAGATGAGGACCAATACCTGCTGCGGCACTCCAGCCCCATTACAGACCGGGAGCCTGGCCTTGGACAGCAGACCCCAGGCAGCATGGCCACAGAAAGCAAGGGGGAGCTAGAGAAGATCCTGGCACACTTGGAGGATGAGAACCGGTGGGTGTGGTGATGGCACAGATCTGTGTGGGTTGGAGAGTCAAACAGTTTAATTTCAAGTCTTGACACTTCCATATCCCACCTGTGTGGCCTTGAACAAGCGACTTCTATTTGGTGATCCTCCATTTCCTCATCTACAGAATAAGAATGATGGTAATAGGGTCCCTAGGATCCTACCTCCTAGCATCATTTGTGAATTTCAAATGAACTCAGGCATATAAATGGGCTAGCCAGTACCTGGCTTATTGTAAAGGTTCAATAAATGCTAGCTATTCTAATCATTATTTGAATCCTTTCAACCCAATCCAAATATTTTCAAGTACCCAGTAGATGCAAGTAGAGAGTGCAAACACAGAGAATACAGAAGAGAGAATGCATGTCTCTGCCCTCGAGGAACTTTCAGTGTTGAAAATGGAAAGAGGTACTTATCACTCACTGAAAGTAATAAAACAAGAGAAGGGTGACATTGCATGGAGTATTTGAAGACTGCAAGGGAGAAGGTGAAGATTACAAGAATGACATTAATCTCCACAAAGTACAGGTGTTAGTAGGGGCCTGTGTCAAAGGGTCCAAGCCACTTTGGGGGCATTTGCTAGAACCCAAAGTATTGCTCAGACCAGTGCGTCTCAAACATTAACATGCATACAAGTCACTTAGGTAGCTGGGTAAAATGCAGATTTTGATTCACAGGTCTGGCATGGGGCCTGAGTTCTCCATTTTTAGCCAGCTCCCAAGGGATGCCCATGCTGCTGGCCCCCAGACTATCTGGAGTGGCAAGTCCTTAGAACAGAGCTGGTCTGCCAAGTGTTCGCTACCGGTTCAAGACAAGATAAATACAGATGTAGAATGTCAGCTTCTAGAAACTTGTATAGCAACTCGACATTGCCATGTCTTCCAGGCACCTAATTAATGGACTTTTCATGGAATCAGGTATAGATCCATTGGAGTGCTGTTGAACTTGTGTGCCAAGTTATGAATGATGTGAGCTGTGTACTAGCCATAGCCATAGACATTTGGACCTCTTATTGGTCCACAGTGATTGAACCCCCACCTACAGATAGTTTGAGAAACACTGCGTTGGATCAGCAGTGGGTCGACCCAGGGAAGCACTGGGGAGAGAGCGATTCTGTTGCAAATCAAACACAATGTTCCTCAAAGTAGACCATCTCTTTGGAATCTGTTTCTTGATGACTCAACAGGGGTGTTCAAAAGGGGGCCAAAGAGGAGGGTAAGTGGAGAGAAGAGGCAAGATGGATGATCTCTTGTTTGGCTTCCATTGGAATCTAAAAATCTAAAAATGGAGTAGGTGAGTCAGTGGCCCTAATGCCTCACTTATTTGCACACTGTGTTTCTGCCCAATTTGAAGGTCAGAATTAATCCCCAAAGCAGCACATCAAAGCCCTGAGACATTTGTTAGATGAAATGTCAGTTCTCTCTGCTCTGAGGCCCAAGGATGGCAAAGGAAATGACATGCATGCTGGAGAAGAATGGATGTGGTCATTCACAACTGAACACAGCTGGGGTGGGGATGGGGCTGGGTCAGCAAAGGGGCCGCTCAGCTGCGCTCAGTATAAGGGGACATCTTGGAGATGGACAGTCAGTACTTTGTCAGGGCCCTAGGTCATGGCTCCTCTCTCCTCGGCAGGATTCTCCAGGGAGAGCTGAAGCGCTTGAAGTGGCAGCACGAGGAGGCTGCTGAGGCCCCGACCCTGGCTGAGGGCTCTGCAGAGGTAGCACAGGACCCCCGCAATGAGGAGCTGCTGGCTGAGGCCCGGATCCTCCGGCAGCACAAGAGCCGCCTGGAGACACGCATGCAGATCCTAGAGGATCACAATAAGCAACTGGAGTCCCAGCTGCAGCGCTTAAGGGAACTGCTCCTGCAGGTGAGCCTGGGTGGGGTGGGGGGTAGGGACTAGAGATGCCCATCCCCCCACCAATTCCAGAGACGTGGGGAGCTGGGGGTGGTGCCGCAAGCAGAGGAACAGTTGGTTCCTCCTTGGCGATGGCTATTGGATGACTTTCTGAAGAGAACTGGGCTGACTACTGACTGACTGATTGCCGATGATTAGGGAAGGCGGGGGAAGGAAGAGGCTGGTGTGCACTTTGCCGGGTCTGAGCGCTCACTTCCCCACAACCCACTGGAATCTGGTATCAAGGGAACAAAGCCCAAATAATCATCGAAAACCTTGATTTCGCTGCTGTGATGTTTGCTGGAGAGGAGAAGGTTTGGATGTGCTGGGTGAGAGAAAGATGTTAGCCAGGAAGGGAGCTCTTTGTTCCTATTTGTTGCTTTCCTCTTGGAGAGCTCATATATGTGACCTAGTGTAGCTCTAGAGTCAGACAGCCCTGGGTATGAATGTGGCTCAGCCAATTTGTGACTGCCAGTTGTTAGGAAAGTTACTTGGCCTCACTTATCCCCAGTTCCCTCATCTGTAAAACGGGGATAATAACTTCCCAACTTCATGGAATTGCAAATGAAAATGAGATAATGTATTTAAAGAATTTAGCATGATGCTAGGATTGTAGTGAATACTTTGTAAACGTTACCTATTACAGATGACCCTTGAACAACACAGGTTTGGACTGCGTGGGTCCAGATATATGCAGATTTTTAAAAGATTTTATTTATTTGAGAGAGAGAGAGCGCATGTACACACACACACATGCATGCCTGTGTGTGAGGGGGGAGGGGCAGGGACAGAGGGAGAAGCAGACTCCCCACGGAGCAGGAGCCCAATGTGGGGATGTGGGGCTGGATCCCAGGACCCAAGGATCGTGACCTGAGCCAAAGGCAGATGCTTCACTGACTGAGCCACCCAGGTGCCCCTATATGTGGATTTTTTACTGTAGAGTACTGTAAATGCATTTTCCCTTCCTTATGATTTTCTTTTTTTTTTAATAGAGGGAAAGAGAGGGAGAGGGGCAGACAGAGAGGGAGAGAGAGTCTTAAGAGGGAGCCCAACTTGGTGCCCGATCTTACAACCCCGAGATCATGACCTGAACCGAAACCAAGAGTCAGACACTCAACCATCTGAGCACCCAGACACCCTCTTATGATTTTCTTAATAACATTTTCTTTTCTCTAGCTGACTTTATTGTAAGAATCTAGCATATAATGCATACAGACTATATGTTTGTTTAGTGTTTATGTTATCAGAAGACTTATGTTATTAGTAAAGTTTTGGGGGAGTCAAAATTATATGTGGATTTTTGACTGCACAGAGGGGGAGGTCAGTACCCCTAACCCCTACATTTTTCAAGGGCCAACTGTATTATCACTATATGTGCCAAGTAATACCACCCCATGCCTCTCCCCTGGACCTTCCAAGGGATAGCCTCTAGATGAATTCCTAGAGGTCTTAACATATATTATATCATGAACTGAGGATCAGGTATGCAACTCTATTTTCAGGGAGAGCCGAGTTCTAACTGGTTTCCTTATAGCTGAGATGACAGCAAGAGACCTTTAGGTACAGCATCATCCTTTTAAGAACTGGGAGCCTTTGACCTATGTTGTTGAAGGAAGAAGGTAACTGGTAACCGAATATTCCAAGAAGTTTCTTCAAAGGGGAAGCCACTGTTTGGGACACTACCAGAAACTTCTTCAAGTCCCAGGGCAAAGGAATGGGCACGAGGTCTCTAAAACCACTTCTAAGCTCAGGAGTCTGTTAAAGTAAGGTCAGAAAAGCAAAGCCACTCAAGTCATGCCTTCCCTCTTGCTAGCCACCCACCGAATCAGATGGCAATGGCTCTGCAGGTTCGTCCCTAGCTTCCTCTCCGCAGCAGTCAGAAAGCAGTCACCCCCAGGAGAAGGGACAGACCACTCCAGATACTGAGGCTGCAGGTAAGTTCCCTGGGCCCTGCCCATCCCCTTCCTCCATGGCTTCATCCTGTCCCAGATCTGCCCAAGGTCCTGCCAGGGCTGGGACTGGTTTCCCCTCCTGGCTCTGAGCTTAGCATCATGGATCATGGGCTTACTGACCAATGCATTTGTTTGCTTATTCCACGCGTGTATACTGAGCACCTCCTATGTGCTAGGCGTTGTGCTGAGAAGACTCAAATGCTGTAGGGTTGTCCTACAGTGGGCAGCCTCCCACCTCAGCCCCTTGGCCTCAGCAGGGACTCTCTAGTTCTCTCCACAAATCTCTCTTTTCCAACTTAGATGACGTGGGGTCAAAGAGCCAAGATGTCAGCCTGTGCTTGGAGGACATCATGGAGAAGCTCCGCCATGCCTTCCCCAGCGTGCGAAGTTCTGACGTGACTGCCAATACCTTGTTGGCCTCTTGAGGGAGCCAGATCCCCATCCTATAATCCATAGTTCTCTCCGGTTCTGGTCCAAGTCTTCCTTCAGCCTTCACCCAACCCTTCCGGCCCACATTCCTCAGCCAGAGTTATCTGAGCTCTGGGTAGGAGCAGGGATCTGCTCATATGTGAGGTGGATGCTTCAGGGCTGGGGGAGGGAGAGGCATGGTTCCTCCAACTCTAGAAATGTGCCCTTTAATCCTCAAGTTTGAGACCAATCCCTTACATATGTTTCTGTTGCATCCATGCAAGTGGCACTTGAAGGCCATTCAGATGGGGAGCAGAGAAGCTGTCTTGCAGAGCTAAGCAGTGCCCATTAGCCCCTTTCCCTTCTCCATAGCATTATGGACGTAAGGAAGCCTCATGACCCCAGGGTTCCAGCATTATGAATCTCCAGGGGTTAGCCCTCCTCTCTTCCCAACTCAGGGAGGCAGAAGGGTATCCCCAAGACACCTCCCCAAAAAAATGTCCCTGAAAATGTTCGGGCAGCATGTGACATATAACTTTAGTTTGACGCCATCTCTCTGGCCATCCTGATGCTACCTAGATGTTGTTTCCCCTCCGAATATCTTCAGTTCCTTCTGCCTCAGGCCCTGGCTGACGTTCCTCAAAGGTTGGGGGTGGGGGAAGAGTTCATTCAGATTCTTACTTACACTGTACCTTTGGGAACATTAAAGACATACTTATGAGCTTAGTGTTTCCCCCAATCCTCCTCCTTCCTGAAGGCCTCAGCCTCCTGAGACACCAGCTGAGTAGCTCTGGGAATCCAGCTGAAGCCACCCTTAGCTCTTCTGGGTCTGTCCTTAGAGCCCTGGAGTAGGGGCAGCAGCTTGCTGGGCAAGGGGGTCTTGCTCTCCTTGGGTGAGGAAAGGGAAGCCACTCACTAGCCTGGAGGAGTGAGACTGCCCCACACCCTTGCAGGCTGGGACCCTTCTTTCTTTCAGGTAGAATCAGCGGAGGTGGCTGATTGTCCCTGGCCAATCATAAAACAGATGCAAGTGGCGACCTGAAACAGGGGTCCCTTCCTAGGAGCCGCTGGCCGCAAATCAGGAAGCTGGCCACTTTCCACCCAAACAATAGCAAGGCCTTCCTTTGCATAAAGCTGTTCTTTCTAACTCTGGAAGCTGAACCCGATCCTCCAAGTAAACTAACTCTTCTTAGGCTACAGATACCATAATCCCTTTATCCAGAAACTCATTCAGAGTAGATAGCAGGGGATGGGGGTGGGTGGGGGAGTGGGCTTGGGAAATTTGCACAGAGTCGGTGCCCACTTAGGCAGCTTTCTACAAAAGGAGCTTTATAACCTAGAGCCCTGCAATTTACTTAATTTGCCTAGGTTTATATACATACGTATCTATCCTGCAGATCTACTGTACATCAGTACCCCCTGGCCTCACTCACATTAAATTCTAAAGCTCTTAAAGGATTAATGTTCTGCATTGCTCTTTGTTAGCCCCAGCCTCTGGCTGGACGGAGAGATGCATCCTGGCTGCTCCCCTAGGATGTCTCTCCAGTCATGTTTGGGGTGAGCTGTCCTCAAGACCAAAGCCACAGAAGCCTGTGGCCACAGTGGAATCTAACAGGAAGAATCACTCTGTTCTCTTCACTCCTTCCAAATCTTGTTCCCTTGAAACCTGGGCCTTGGATGACTTTTCCTGGGTTTCCCCTAAACAATGGTTCAGTTGCCAAGATAGAGCATCTACTCATCCCATGCAGACAAGAAGGAACAGATGGGCTCTTGTTGGCCTTTGCGAGGCTACAACCCAGAGAACACCCTCCAGCCCCTTCTAGTTCCTAAGTCTGGCTCAGGGTCTTAAAGAAAGCAGTGGCTGCCACCAAGGTCAGGAGGGTGTGAGGTAGTTGGGGTGCTCTGTTATAATCAAGTAGTGGGCCAGTGGTTAGAACTGTTGGGAAGTTAGATTTATCTGCTGCAGGGGAAGGGGGGCATCAGCTTGGGTCCAGAAGCCTAGGATTGCTTCATTTCTAGAATGGCCAGGGAGCACTAAGCCATAGGTCTGGGGTATCAGACCTAACCAGATGTCTGCCTTAGTGCTCATAAAGACTCTGGATGGGAGGACTGGGTATCTGTATGTATGGGAACAGGTAGTAGGCAGGCATCAGACACAGAGCATGGGCATCTGTCCAAGGCAGGGGTAGGGGAGGATGGGGGTGGAGGGAGGTTATATTTGTAGGGGCCTAGTTTGTGGGCAAGAAAGGGATAGAAGAAGTTTGCTATAGGCCAAAGAGCTCAGCGTCTTTGAGGCATATCCTGCCTAAGCCTTAGGAGGGCAGATGTTATGAAACAATCTTTTACCAGGGAAGTTCTAGAAAACCCTTTCCATAACCCCCACTCACGCAAGAGATCTTGGGCTGCTGAGGGCCTGTGGCAACTGCAGTGGGCTAGGCATGGTAGGGAAGATGTAGATCTTGCTATGTAGGATTTGTGCTGTAGGTGGACTGAAGCAGCAGAGTAAGAGTTGAATTCTCACTAATGGGGCCGCTGACACTTTGTGTGTGGTCCTGTGTGTACCAGAGGTGAGTATGTCACTCAAGGGTCCAGTGACAGTCACTGCAGCATTGTGTGGGCCATTTGCCCATGGTGAGGTAAAGGGATCCTTGGGCTCCATGAATCCAAATGAGGGTGAGATTTACTGAGATGTGTTGCATGTTGTGAGGCATCTGTCATGTAGTGTGTCTCCTGGAGGTATTTTTTGTGATGCTGCATTAATTTAGGGCCTTGTGCAGGAGGAGGAGTAGAGGGAGTTTCCAGGGAGGCAGCCTAAAGAAAACCTCTGACTTGTGAGATCAGCATCAGTATGAAGGAATGTGAGTGTTTGGGGTGGTTGCCAAGTAGTATCAGGGAACAGTTAGGTTTGAGAGATGATTGACTCTCGACAGAATCTGACAGAGGCCAAAATGCCATTCTGAGGGGGCTCTGCTCCGAGTGAGAGCAGAGTAGGGTCATGTTGACTGGGAACTTGTCAGAAAAGGCTGACTGGCAGAACATCAAGCTGTCTGTTGTATGGTTCCCTGAGGAGGGCCCTACCAGGCAAGACACATGCCTTTTCCTCCAGGATGGCAAGGCTGAGATCAAGATTCTCAAGTGCCCATTTCCTTCAAGGCCCAAACTTTGGAAATACATCCCTGTAGAGAAACCTGTTTTGAGTTTCTTGGGCTCCAGGAACTGGGCTGGCAGGCCATGGTAATGAGACACGCTGAGGTCAGGCAGAGACCCGTGCTGGGAGATCTTTTTCCCTCCAGGTTCATTTTCAGGAATACCTGTGCTGCCCGAGGGGTGTGTTTGGGACCTGGGCTCCACGTCCAGCTTCATGCCAGAACATTCCTTGAGCATGCATTCTCAATGGCTGACTTGTGTCCTCTGACACCATTTCAAGCCAAGAATCTCATTAAAGTTCCTTTGACATGGGTGACAGCTTGTCAGGAAAGTAAGCTGCCTTAAGATAAACGGTCCTGGGGGAGACACTGGGGGTCCTGCCCTAGGGTTGTGGAGACTTAGCTGCTCAGCAGGGCAGCTCTATCTCTAGGCCTCTCTGCCAAAATCTGGCCCTGGGAACAAAGGAATACTTAAGATCCTTACTCTTTTAACACCACTGGCTGTGGGAGAGGGAAAGGTTCAAGGCCAGGGCTCAGCTCCCAGCCTCCATCTCCTCCCACAGCTGCTGCATTTGGGGGGGACCTGCTGAATGTCCTTGCTGTCCCCAGGGCAGTATTGAGGCCAGAGAGGAGCCCTGCCCTGCTGCTTGCTGGCTGCAAGAACTAGTCTCTGGAATGGAAGCTGGGGAAAGGATCCAGGGGAGGGGGAGGTGGCAAGGGTGGCACACGAGTCTAGAAAAGTTTGGGACAAAGGGACGGAGCTGGGAACAAACTGGTTAATTTTGATTGCCACTCACTGTGGTGCTTTTCCTTTCTCCCTGGAATTCTGCTTTGAAAAGAATAAATTTGTATTTGTTTACTTTGGTTCTTCTGGTTATACTCTGACTCTGGTATTCCACATCCTTCCCTTATTTGGGTGTGGGAAGGGAGGGTGGGCCAAGAAGCCACAGGGATACTACAAAACATAGGCTACCAGATGAGTTCAACACCTGCTGAACCAAAAAAGAAGAAGGAGAAGGAGAAAGGAAGGGAGGGAGGAATGAACAGAAAAAAGAAAAGAAAAGAGGGCAAAAGAAAAGAAAAGAAAGAAACCCACCTGCACTAGCCCCATCCACTATTGTTACCTGGATTGGTTGCCTCTCAAGGTCCTACACAAATTAGCCAGTTATCCCCTCCTGGAATGAGCTCTCTACAGCAATGGTACTTAAATACCATTCTCATCAATCTGAGGGATTTTCCCCAGGCTGAAGTAATATGAGAAAAATCAGGACAATGCAGTGAGTTTCCACAGAGTTATATTTATTCAATTTAAAGGTCTTTTATTATGGGTATATATATTTTTTGGAGTGTTAAAATGTCCTTGTAACTATGGCAATAAAACTATGAAAATAGTTGTTTTTTAAAGCTCTTTTCTGGCAAAATAAAACCCTGTGAGTCCCTCTTCCCCACCACCAATTTTTTTCTCACCAATCTATAACAGCCCTGTCCAATAAAAATATAATGAGAGCCATTGACTCAAATTTTCTCGTAGCCAAATTTAAAATATAAACAGGTGAAACTAATTTTAGCATTTAACCCAGTATATCCAAAACATCATTTCAATGGGATATCAGTATAAAACAATTACTGAGATACTTTGTATTCTTTTTTTTTTTTTTTTTTACTAAGTCTTAGAAATTGTCAAGCAGGCTGAAAAGATTCAGCTGGAAGAAAAAAACAAAATAAAAAAACAAAACAAGAAACCCACATAGCTCCAGACAGTTTAGTACTCACAGAGACAGCAAAAGCAAGATCAGCAATAGTATCCCTTCCCTGCCTCCCTCATCCCACAGGATGACACCTAAACAAAAGGGGCCCGAGGACATGCAGTGTGAATGGTGGGGCATCCTACTGCTGAGTGGCCTATTCCACACTGCAGCTAAGCAGTTTTATGGCCTTTACCCTGTACCCTTTGCAGGTGGTGTGGCAGGCCGAAAGTTCTATGCCTCATTCGAATGAGGGAGGCAGAGGAGAACCTCCCAGAAGCTTCCCTCAAGATAAGGAGGTGAGAGAAATGGTCTTGAAGTGACTTCTCATGAGAGGGCCTATCTTCCCGTGACCTGGGAGGACTGCAGGGCATTCTGCCAAGGCCTGGGGCAGCCTGCAGTAGAGCCTTGCCTATGTGGCCTGTGTTACTAGTGCAAGGTTGGCAGGGCCCCAGCCCAGAGCAGGTCCCCTACATAAACCCGCTGCACATCTCAGTGCAAGCTAGCTAAATGTCAAGGGCTCGAAGGCCACATGTGGCTGGTGGATACCATATTGGCCAGCGCAGGTCTGTAACATGCAAAATTCAGAATCACGGGACTGTAGAAAAAGAAAACTTCACGAGGTATTGTGTGTGTGTGTTCGCGCGCACGTGTGTGTGCTGGGGTGAGGTGGGGAGTCAGGGCAGCAGTAAGCCTTGGGTAACTGGAGGGCAGTGATGAAGTAGTTACCCTGGGATACAGTGAGATGGGGCAATGGAGGGAATGGAAGTTCACTGCCGGTGAATGGATTTGCCCTCCTTGCCCCTTGGCTGTCGTCTTCCCTTCCTTCCTGCCTCTTGGCAGCACAGTCATGGCGGCTCTTGGGCTGTAGGATTGGACAGAGGCTAAACTAGGGCTCTTCTACCTCTCTCACCTCTAGATGCCACCTGTGGCAATATATGCCGCCCTCACTAGCCTCAGTCTCTCCAGCCATGTGCCCAGGATGCTTTCTGTTTCTGCTCCAGTCCCCTACCTTCCTTCAGCTGGAAAGGCCTGTCTTTTCAAACTTTGCTTCTTCCCCAACACCTTCTGCCTCTGATACTCAATTCCTTTCCCCCACTCTCCTCCTCATCTTTTAAAGCCTGGGTTTCTGAAAAAAAATTTTTTTTGAGAGAGACCGTGAGAGCACAGGGAAAATGGGGAGAGGGAGAACCCAAGTAGGCTCCACACCCAGCACAGAACCTGATGCAGGGCTCAAGCCCATGACCCTGAGACCATGACCTGAGCTGAAACCAAGAGTCAGATGCCCAACCAGCTGAGCCACCCAGGTGCCCCTGAAAAAAAAATCATTTTTATATCATCCTTGTTTTTAAGCTGTCCTCTAACTTCTCTACTAATCTTAACCTCATTTCATTTGCCCTTAAGATGTGTAGCCCCCTTGGTTCCACTTCTTCCCTGCATTTGCCCTCAGCATTCCTTCCATCTTCCATCCTCTTCTATGGGGCCTGCCCATACATATTGACCTGCTCTTCACTGCCCCTGTCTTATTAACTTCAACTTGGAATGGGAGCACTAAAAATGGCACAGAAAACTTGGGAGTACATTTCCTAGAGACTCCATCAACTGGGACCAAACTTGGTCTAGCTGGACTACCTCCAGAAAACCCTCAGATGCCTCTTGGTCATAAACATTATCATCCTTGATTTCCAGATGAGAAAATAACAGAGGCTCTAAGAGGTATAGGGACTTGCCCAAGGTGAATGGCAGAGCCAGGATTCCAACCTTGCATGTTTATCAGTACAACGTAATGGAAATTTGATGCAAATATGGGAGCTGCCATTTTTTTTTTATCACTTCTCTATACGCTTTCTCGAAATCCCAGGGCTATGCGGTCAATAGGAGATGACTTGCTTAGTTCATTAGGAGTTATCCCAGGGGCTATTTCGAAGGATGCCCCAGTATGGACACCATCTTCTGTCATTTTCTAATGGTAGAGTTTTATTGCCTGTCTCTATAGTTTCCTTTTGGGTAGGACTGCACTCATCATGGGAGCAGTTTAATAAAGTGACAGCAATCCATTTAAAATGAGAAATTCATTTATTGCTTAAAGAACACAGACCAGAAAACTTTAACAATACAGCAGACAAAAAAAAACAAAAACAACCCACCCAGGGTTTTTAAGGGACTCTTCAGAGGCTTCACAGGCATCTGAGTTTTCTTAACATCTTCTGGCAGGGGTTAGGATGAAGAGGCTCAGAATAAGGATAATAGCCCAGAATTTCATGTCTGCTCTAACTATTCTCTTAGCTGGCAAATAATAACCAGACGCAATTCTAAAAAATGCAACAGAACAAAGATAGCAGCAGCAAGAAATCATCCCTGAGCAGGAAAGCAGCTCCTATTACCTTAACAGAGACAGGATACAACCTAGTGTTAACTGCTGCGAGGTAGACACTTAATTCACTGTGGCAGGTCCTAGCCTTTGGTAGAAATGATTCGTTCTATGTTTTAGGAAATATTTAAAATTAACAGGGGAAGGGAACTGGAAACATATGCAAACCAGCTGGATGGCCTTCAGGCTAGACTATCTGTCTTTGGCAAGCATGGCTAAATCATTTGATGGCATCAACAGAACAGAAGCAATAGAAGCAATTCTCAAATTGGTAAAGAGAAGCCAAGTTCCATATTGAGTTGGGTTTTTAGGTCTACTACTTTTTTTATATTCTGTCCCTTTCTCCACAACCCTAAACTTCAAATTTGACTAGCAGACAAAGGTTCAGATAAACAAATACAAATGACTCAACATAAGGCAATGAAAGGGACAGAAACACATACAATTCATCCAGTCTTCAGCAGTCTAGAGAGTGAATCCAAGGTTCATGTGCCAGTCTGAAGGCTCTCTCACTTCAAAAAATATTTCAGTTGTTCCTTTAGGGAAATGAGCTGAAAGGAGAGGTGGTAAAACATGAAAAATTCATCTGAAATCTTAAGTTCCATTACTTGATCAAGAATTTACTTGTAGGCACCCAAAAGAACTACTGTAACTTAGTGTTTATATGGTTATCTTAGTCTTGCAATGTCCCAAAGAATGGTGCACGGTCGAAAATGCATGTACAATGCTGCATGCTGGGTTTCTTCTTCTTTTTTTTTTTTTTTTTTGGTGCCAAACTTATAAAAGGAAGCTTTAACGCTGAATATGCTTAAAAATGAAATAAGCTTGCTGTTAAGACTTTGTGCTTCTGGAAAGAGTGTACAGAGGTATCACTGTAGCCTTATTTGAAGAGTCCAAAACTAAAGCAGCCGGGATGGCCTTTTGTCCCACTGAACATGCTGGCTCTTAAACCATGTCTTAGCTGCTGCTTCTTGCCATGTTATGAGACACTTAGAAACCGAGCCAGATATCTGACCAATAGGGAGCCTGATGATCGACTTGTTTTGATTCTTTCTAAGTCAGAAGTCCTGAGCAGTCTGTGGCATAGGATTTAATTTTTTTTTTCCTTGAAATGGCAAAGTGACCAGTAACATTAAGAAAGGTGTACTATCTTTGGGACAAAGATAGTTTCTGAGTATTACTCAGTTTAGGTCACTCCATACCAGTGTAGATTTTCATTCTGTGAAATGAAAGGAATGGAACATTACCAAATGATTCTATGCTGCACATCGTCTACTGAATGGCTAGAATTGCTTCCTATGGTAATTTAGAGGCTCTTTACGCCCAGATGCTGACATGATTACAACCACTGACTATTCCAGTTCTTTCCCCTTTGTAGGCTCTTTCTCTCACCACCCCAGGTTCAGACTTCTTGCTAAACAGTCACCCTGGCTAACTCATCTATCCCCACAACTTCAGTGATCATTTCTCTGCATGAGCCAGCCTCTATTCTCCCATTTTCAAAAGTGCTTCCAACACACCATGCTTCCAGTTTAGCTCATCAACTTCTCCACCCTCTGCCCCCCATAATTCCCTTCCTGATGTCTTCTCTTAGAGGCATACCATTTTCCCTGTACTCAGGCTTTGGACTCCTCTGTGTTCTGCTTCTTGCCCTGTAAATCCAATCAATTGTTAAGCTCTGATTCCTTCTATCACTTGGAGCTTCCTATAATCTTTCTCCACTCTAATGTCATCTACTTGCTGCTGGCAGAGAAGTCTTCCTGAGTTACTCCCCAGGTAGAAAACTTTGATGGCTTATTACATCCTACACCGAAAGTCTCAACTCTAGCCTGTCCAGAGCACCTCTGAGCCACTGTGCTTTCTATACAGAACACCCTCCTTTCCCTATATCCTTATTAAAACCCTACCCACCTTTGAAGGCTCCAGCCAAACACCATTTCTCCATGGAGTCTCCCTAATCTCTATGGACAAAAGTGAGCCCGCATTCCTTTAAATTCCTGTCCCTTTCATGGATCTTTCCCCAGCTGGAGGCAGAGATTGGGTTGTAAGCATTTTGTAGCTCCCTGCAGAGCCTAGCTTAAGGCAGGCACCCGTCTACACTGACAAAACGAGCTAACATAAAGGACTATGAGTGAATCGAGTTTATGGCTACATTTCTGTGTTGAAAATAGCACTTCTCCAATACTATTTACATGGATGAAAACAAAGATGTTTGGTGAGTGCTAAAGCAATTTGGCACTAATTTTTCACATGGTTGTTTATAAGCAGTGTTTGGTTAAGTGATCTGCTGAGGGGAAGGGAATATACGGAAGAATTCCCCTCACCTTGCTGGTATGGGGAATGGGGATGAGGGATGTCACTACCTTAACAGCCCCATGTTAAGCGCATCAGCATATGACCTCCAGTTCCTTTATAACTGTTATCCTCAATTTTTTAGGGCTTAAGTCAACATACATTTCCTGTACAGCTACTTGACCCTCACTCCCACATTACCCTCTTTTCTTTTCACTCTGATGACTCTCTTGTGGCTTTATTTATTTATTTAAAAGATTTTATTTATTATTTGATAGAGAGAGATACACCGAGAGAGGGAACACAAGCAGGGGGAGTGGGAGAGAGAGAAGCAGGCTTCCCGCTGAGCAGGGAGCCCAATGCAGGGCTCAATCCCAGGACCCTGGGATCATGACCTGAGCCAAAGGCAGATGCTTAACGACTGAGCCATCCAGGTGCCCCTCTCTTGTGGTTTTAAATAATACAGTTGTTCAAGTTAGAAGTCTGGCATGCATCCTTAACACTTCCTTCAACACCCACTAATTGACCCAAGTCCCATCAACTCTATTTTTAAAATACATTCTCTCATATATGAATGTTTGCAACAGCATTATTCATGATAGCTAAAAAGGGGAAACCACCCAAATGTCCATCGATGGATGAATGGATAAACAAAACATGGTATGTATGGTATGGACACACACACACACACACCATGGAATATTGGAATATTATCCACCCACAAAATGGAATAAACTACTGATACATGCCATGGCATGGATTAACTTTGAAAGCCTTATGCTAAGTGAAAGAAGCAGATACAAAAGACCACATATTATTTCCTTTTAGATAAAATAAGCAGAAAGTACTTTCATGGTTGCCTAGGTTTGGCAGGTGGGAAGAATCCAGAAGAAATGGGGAGTGACTGCTAATGAGTATAGGTTTCTTTCTGGGGTGATGAAAGTTGTCATCACCTCTTAAGAAACCGCCACACAGCCTCCTAAGTGGCCTCCCTGCTTCAACTCCTGACCCCCATAATCCATTCTCCCAATAATAATCAGAGTGATCTTTTAAAAAATTTGAATTAAATGTGACCCTCCTATTGCTTCTTGGCCTTTTGGCTAGGATCAAGTGTAAATGTGACTATCCCACTTAAAACTCTTCATGGGTTTCCCACTGCACTTAATACGAAAACCCATCCTCCTTCCTCTGGCCTGCAAGGGACCATACGCTATGGCCTCTGCCTACTTCTGCAACCTTATGTTAAGTCACTCTCTTCCTTGGTTTAAATACTCCAGAAGTCCTCCAAGAGGCCAAGTTCTTACCCAATGTGGGACCTGGCATATTCCCATGTGGGACCCACCCAAGAGGCTCTCCAGTCCCTCTTCACCTGGACTTATCCCATAGGTCAAAGCGGAAATATTGCTTCCTCAGAAAGGCCAATCATTTTAATTTAATTCCGTTTAAAGCACTACTCTTTTTATTCAAATATCACCATGGATTTTTTTTTTTCTCCTTCACAGCATTTCTTCACAATTTGTACTTTTAGATTTGTATGCTAATTTTTTCACTACCAGTCTTCCATGTTAGACAGTCATCTCCACGAGGACAAGAACTGTCTTATTCAACACTGTTTGTACATCTTATGCTTTTCACTTAATAGGCATTTGATATCTATTGAATGAGTGAATTTTCACAAAAACCTTACTCCAGCCTGCTACCTCTCATTTAGAAGATTTGGCCATTACTACTCCAGTGAAAGGAGCAGCCAGAAATGACACTGGGGGTAGGGTGGGGGAGTCTTTGTAGCAAATGTTTCCTCGTTGATTGGAAAACACACCCACCTGCTCTTTTCTTTGCATTTCCTGTAATATAAGCTGCTCCAGCACAGACTGTAAATGATTCTGGAAAACAAATTGCATAAATGATAAATGCTGAGTCTCAAGGGAAAAGAGAACCAAGTGACACAAGGAGTTTGGCAAATAATTTGATAAGAAAACTGTCAGTTGTAACAAAAGAATACTCTTTTTAAAGGATTTAGAGTAAAAAAAACTGCACCCCCAACTACAAAGCCATCTGATTTGCTTTTATAACCCTACCCACAGCACTTTTTTTTTCTTGCCCTAAAATAAATGGTTAGAATGCCTTCAGGTTAACTTTTTCTAGTTTTAGCACAAATCCTTTGACTATGGTGAACTATTTAAAAAGCTGGCTTGGAATTTGATGCTGAGTCACTGACTTCCCTGCACTAGGACAGAATATTACTATTCCTAACTAGTACTTCATACAACATCATAATAATACCATACAGCTCTATCTTCCAAAGCATGTCCACATCTATCATCTCACTTGGTTATTCTAAAGGACAACACTCTAAATAGGTATAGTTCTATGTCACACTGCTCCATTTTGATGACTACAGCTCTCCAAAAAATGAAATCTGGCAAGGAATTTTCCAGATGCTTCAGAATTTCCCTCACTAAAAAAAAGATGCAAACAAGGCCTAAACATACATTTTCCTTTGGTTGAAATGTGTATTAACAAAAATAAAGCAAGATATTTATTCTTGTTCAGGCATGCATCATAACATTTAAATATGAATTTAGTTAATTTTCTTTCACTGCAATGAATACATTTTGGTACAAACAACGGGATTCAATCTATGTCTTATTCTTACTGTGGTCCCTGGCAAGTTACTTAACCTCTTTGGATTTTCAATTTCTTATCTATAAAATAGGACTAGTGACAGTGCCTGTGTTTCAGGAATGTGAGGATGAAATGAGATGATACATGGAAAATAGTTATGCCTTTCACATGACAGCTGTTCAGTATTGGTAATTACTATCTCAAGTTTCCTGGTCTCCCAAAACTGCTTATGCAAGATGATCAAAATTACTCAGGTAAAAGGAATACGGTTATATTCTCTTAGGGGTTTCGAGGAGGTTGTTTAGGTGTGCAAATGTATAAGAATGCTGCATAGAGACAACATGAATAGAAACACAACAATGGGTTTTCGAAAGTAAGATATCAAGATATCTTTATCCCAGCCAACAGGAATTTACCTTGAGCGCCAGGTTTTCCACTTTCATTATGAGATTCTTCTGTCTTTGTGCTTTGCAACGAATCTCTTGGAGCTTTTTCTCCATGTAATGAATCTGCTTCTGAATATCCATAACTAACAGAGATAGACAGAAATTTTATCTAAACATAGCCTAAACTAGTGGACTGAGATCAAAATCAACTAAAACTCCACTACATAGCTCAGCAATAACTTCTCAAACCTAGCCTTGCATCTAACATGTATTTACAGTCCATCTTCAGCACTGCTGCCCACTCTGTCCCACCCCTTTGGTTTTTCCTCTATAACTTACCTATTGAACTGGCTTCTTCCTTTGCCTCATACTGGCCAGATGCAAAGAACTTGGCCTGTAGCTCCCTTTCCAGATCCTCTTCATAATAATCTTCATCCTCTTCCTCAATTTTGTACTCCTCATCATAGTCATCCTCTTCATCCTCATCCTCCTCATCCTCCTCCTCATCCTCCTTATTGTCGTCATCCTCCTCCTCGTCATCGTCATCATCATCGTCATCATCATCATCATCACTGTTACTGCTAGAATCACTGAACACCTCCCGAAGCATACCATATCCTACTGGTTTTAAGGAAGAGGAAGATGAAAGTGTATGGATCTTCAAATGACTCCCAGTCTAGCTGTAATTATACTCCCTCCCCTCAAATTCACCAGACAACCAAAGACTTTAATAATTTTACCGAAGGAAGATTATTCCCTTCCTAGAACAATGATGGGAAATGCAAAACACTAACATTCTTTCATGTATTCAATGATCAAGGCATTTAGAATACCAGGGATGGATGGGAGATTAGAACACTGATCTAAGGGTGCCTGGGTGGCTCAGTGGATTAAAGCCTCTGCCTTCGGCTCAGGTCATGATCCCAGGGTCCTGGGATGGAACCCCACATCGGGTTCTCTGCTCAGCAGGGAGCCTGCTTCCCCCTCTCTCTCTACCTGCCTCTCTGCCTACTTGTGATCTCTGTCTGTCAAATAAATAAATAAAATCTTAAAAAAAAAAAAGAACACCAATCTAAAACCCCTGAAGTGCTGAGGGACCAATAAGAGGAAGAAGGGAAAAGGCCTCCTTTTTCTGTGATTGGCCTGTGAGTCTATGGAAACTGTCCTTTCACACAGTCAACACCTGCCCTCTCCGAAGTTCTTATTTTGCCTTTATAAACATACCTGATGAGATATGATCCTGCTTATAGTCACTCATTCCTGGGGATAGTGCAAAGCCTGGGATAGAGCCCTGACTCTCTATTTCCTTGGTTTCATCTTCAGCAATGACTTCCCATCCTGAAAGTTGGATCAGTTAGGGAACAAGCAGAAAGAAAGGAGTAGGCACAATTGAAAGGGAAGAGGCTCTCTGGCTGAAAATGCTATTTAATTTAATCCAACTTTGGGCCATTTGTATCTGTATTCTAGTATGAAGAAGTACCTTATACTGAGTTACACAAGTAAATACATTTCTATCACGTGAATTTACTGTTCCTAGCTAGGAAGTAACATTTCCAAAATCTTAAGTTCTACACATGAAAATGTGCACACAAATACCAGAAATAAGGGCTTGTAAGCAAGTGCATATGGGGTGGAAGAGACTACACAGAAAAGATTTAGTATAAAAGGATACGAGCACTGACAGCTTCAGCATCTGAACACAAGAGTCTTTTCACTTCCTTTTCCACATCAGGAGATTCAATGTACTGAACCAAAGTGGGAGAAGGGGGCATACCAGTAAGGTCGTTTAACACCCTGTGTTTTGCAGGAATGCTCTTTTCCTACATACAAATGAATTCAAATAATTAGGCTTCTTTAATATGCATGCAATCAAATTTCAACATTAAATCATGTTATTTACAAAGGAATCTTTGACCAGCATCTAGGTTTTTGTACAGTAAGCTTATCCACCCCCTCGAAACAAATTACTTGAGACATTTAATTTTTTCAATCTGCAACTCTGTGTTAAAGACCTCTCTCAGAAGCACAACCCTTAGGTCTCATTTATTAACTATTTGCTCTGACACATATTGGCAAAGAACTACAATTCCTTATTTGTTATTTAGAAGTGATTTGGTCTAAAGATCCAGATTCCCAGAGTTCACATCTCCACATCTTTATTATTAAAGATCTTCCTATAAAAACTGGGTCTTAGCTACATGTTCTCCCTTAAATCCAATTTTAGACAATTATCTCCACAGCAACCAATTCGTCATGCCACAAATAGAAATTAGAACTTTGAAAGGGAATAAGTAATTGCAAACAACTGCTGGTAAAAGTGAACCCTGGCTTCCAAGAAATGGGTTTTGAAGTAAGTACCAGAACAAAAAACAGATTAGAATACAGAGTCACTAGTCAAATTGTATCTTTTCCTCTAGGAGTTATCACACATTAAACAATGAATCCATTTTTAAGTGAATCAAATTCAGTCTCTGTGCATGGCAGTAGAAGTTAGAGATGAGAAGTCTGGCTTAAAAGTAACCTTTATGATTTCTTTGATTTGCTTGAAAGTAATAAGCAATGAAATAAAACACACTAAGGGTAAACAATAAAGTTATATTATGATTGTTCTACCTCAGGAAAGCTGATTTCTTCAATTTGTTTGAAATCGGTGAGCTACAAAATAAAACACAATAAACAATGAAGTTATATTACGATTGTTCTACTTCACTAAAGCTTAAAGAATTCTAAAATCATTAACTTAGTTTTACATTCATTTAATAGGCACTCAAAAAATGCTGTTGACTGACAATAGAAAAGCCAAGGCAACTGTGTTCATAGACTAAGATATTCAACTCAGTAAAGTTGTCAATTCTCCCCCAAATTGATCTATACATAGGGTTAATGCAATTCCTACCAAAATTCCAACAAAATTGTCTGTGGACACAGAAAACGTTTTCTAAACTTCAAACATACTCTAAAATTTATGTGGAAAAGTAAAGGCTCTGGAATGGCTAAAACAATCTTGACAATGAAAAACAAAGAACAATCTTCTTGACCTCAAGACTTATATAGCTACACCGTGGTATGAGTAGAAGGATCAACATACAGATCAATGGAACAGAATAGGGAACCCAGAAACAGACACATACAAATATGCTCAAGGGATTCTGACAAGGTATAAAAGCAATACAGTGGAAGAAGGATAGACTTTTTAACAAATGGTGCAGGAGCAACTGGACATGCAAGATGCAAGGAAAAAAATGAATATTGAACTAGGGGTGTCTGGGTGGCTCAGCCGGGTAAGCACCTGCCTTCAGCTCAGGTCATGATCTAGGGCTTCTGCTCAATGGGGAGTCTGCTTCTCTCTCTCTCTGTCCCACCCCCATCGTCCTGTCAACCTCTTTCAATTGCTACCTCTCTCAAATAAATTATTAAAAAGTCTTCAAAAATTAGGTCAAAAATGGATTGCAGGCTTAAATGTAAAATGTAAAACTTTAGAAAAGAGGAAATAGGAGAACATCTTCAGGATCTGGGCTAGGCAAAGAGTACTTAAACTTGACACAAAGGGACGATCCTTAAAAGGAAAAGTTAATACTTTGGACTCAACCAAACAAAAAACTTTTACTCTTTGAAAGACCCTGTGGGTAAGATGAAGAGACAAACTACAGAATAGGAGAACATATTTTCAAATTTCTACATATCTGACAAAATGCTAGTATTTGGAATATTAAAAGAACTCTTAAAACTCAATAATAAAAAATCCATTTAGAAAATGGGTAAAAGACATGAACAGACATTTCACTGAAGTGAAATATATGGGTGGCAAAAAAAAATATGAGAAGGTGTCTGACACCATTAGCCATCAGAGAAATGCAAATTCATACCACAATGAGATCACTACACATCTATCAGAATGGCTAAAATAAAAAATAGTGACAAACACCTAATTCTGGTTAGACTGTAAAGTAACTGGATCACAAGTATACTGCTGGTGGGATGTACAATGTTAAAGCCACTTTGGAAACCATATGGTAGTTTCTTAGAAAACTAAACATTCAAGGGGCGTCTGGGTGGCTCAGTCAGTTAAGCATCTGACTCTTGGTTTTGGCTCAGGTTGCGATCTCATGGGTTGGGGGATTGAGTCCAGCATCAGGCTCCACGCTCAGTGAGGAGCATGCTTGAGTCTCTCCCTCTCCCTCTGCTCCTCTCCTCTCCACCTGCATGTGTTCTCTCTCTCTAATCAATAACTCTTGAAAAAAAAAAGATTCTCCCTCTCCCTCTGCCCCTCCCCCTTCTGAAAACAAAACAAAACAAAACATTCAAGTACCACAAAACAAAACAAAACATTCAAGTACCACAGGACCCAGCAACTGCACTCCTGGGCATTTATCCCAAGGATACCAATACTTATGTTCACACGAAAACCTGCTTGTGGCTTTATTTAGAATAGTAAAAAACTGAAAACAACGCAGATGTCCGCCAATGAGTGAATAGTTTAACAAGCTGTGGTACAACCATACGATGGAATACTACTCAGCAATGACAGGAACAAACTATTGATACATGCAACGACTTACATGGATCTTAATGGAGTAATGTTTAGTGTGGGGAAAAGCCGGTATTAACTATTACTCATTGTATAAGTCCATCTATATGACATTCTGAAAATGACTACATTAAAGAGATGGAGAACATAACAGTGATTGCCAGGGGTTAGAGACTGAGGGAGTAGGGCAGGAGGGAGATGAGTGTGACGATAAAAGGGCAATGGGGCGCCTAGGTGGCTCAGTCGGTTGAGAGTGTGACTCTTGGTTTCAGCTCGGGTTGTGATTTCAGGGTCATGAGATCAAGCCCTGCGTCCGGCTCCACACTCAGTGGGGAGTCTGCTTGAAGATTCTCTCCCTCTGCCTCTTCTCCCATTCATTCATTCTCTCTGAAATAAGTAAATAAATCTTTAAATTTTTTTTTAAAGGGGCAAGATGAGGGATCCTTGTGGTAATGGAACTGCATAGTATTTTGACTTATAGGCGGATATATGAACATACACATGGGATAAAACTGCACAGAACACACACACACACACACACATGTACATGTAAAACTGGAGAAATCTGAATAAGATTGGTGAATCATATAATATCAATTTCCTGTTTGTGATAACGTACTGTAGTTTTGCAAAGAGTTACGATGATGAGAACTGGATAAAGAGCACACGGTATCTCTCTTTTATTTCTTTCACCTGCATATGAACCTACAATTATTTCAAAATTAAAAGTTAATTGAAAAAAGAAAAAGCTGGGGTGCCTGGGTGGCTCAAGTGGGTTAAAGGCTCTGCCTTCGGCTCGGGTCATGATCCCAGGGTCCTGGGATCGAGCCCCACATTGGGCTCTCTGCTCAGCAAGGAGCCTGCTTCCTCCTCTCTCTCTGCCTACTTGTGATCTCTGTCAAATAAATAAATAAAATCTTAAAAAAAAAGAAAAAAAGAAAAAGGCAAGCCACAATAATCCTGTAGCTTGTCCAAGGTTCTCCAAGTCTGAGGTAAGGTTAGGAATATAACGACAGTTCTCAATTCTCAGTTCTTTAAAACTAGATCCTGCAACTGAAAACTGAAAGCATTAGCAGGAGTTTCAAATTCATGACACATCCAGATCCCTAAATGATCAGGTCTGGTTTTTGTGCACTATAGAATCCCAGTTGCTACCACACAGTGCCTGGCATTTAGCTCACAATAAAACTTTATTGAACCTATAAAGGAATGAACAAATTAATCCCCAACTGACTGTGTCCCTTTCCTCCCCACTCATAATCCTCTTCCAATGCACCCAGTAGACACAGAAGTAGCATGCAACTAACCTTTTTTGTTGTTTTGCGGAACCTTTTCTTTCTGACATTCTTAAGTGGTGGAGTAACTAAAATAAATTCAACATGGTAAAATGTATATATGACTGTTGGTAGTCACACATCTATCTGAATTTGATAAAGAGAAAGGTCATGCTATAAGCTACTGGCTCATGACATGACCTGTTCCTTTAAGAGTGTCTAGATGCCTAACAAACCAAACACCTAAGTGTGGTAACAGGTCCATGGCTCACAAGTAATTAGGATTCAGCTGATAAATGTAGTCAGCCAGAATGAGCAAGGGGCTGGTGACTTACTGCCATGCTTCCAGACATATTTTTTCTGTCTCTCTTTTTCATTTTTCCTGATTACTTTAAGATCAGTAGAGGTAACTGGTTCTTCTGGAGAAGAGTGGAGATCACCATCAGCAGTGCACACAAGCATCTACATTTAACAAAGATAAAGAAGTTGACTATGGCCCCAAATCTTGTGTTAGTAATGAATTGTGGTCATTTTTACTACCAGAAATCCGGAAGCATAGAAATAAGGAGAACGTTACTTGGCAATTCCAGAAAACCAAGTATTAATATACATCCATATTCATTCTCTCTGTCTGTTTCCACAGCATTGTATACAGATTCTGGGTTTTGTTTTTGTTTTTATTTGTTTGTTTTAGCTCAAATGCTTACCACTGCAGAGGAAATATGTTCCAAACAAATATATTTTAGCAGTTTGATTTAGAAGACAAACAAGAAATCAACAGTTAAGATAATGAAAAAGAACAAACATAAATCTACAAATTTCACAGCATCTTGCTTTAGCAGAAAGTTCAGAAGATCCCAGACCCTTTTTTTTTTCAGATGAAAATCATTATAAATGGCAAACATAAACCTTTATTAGCTAAAAGCTATCTGGATAAAATTAAGTAGTCAAAAATTATGGATCAAACACCAAATCAGAACATGACATTGTATTTCTGTGCAATCGAGCTGGAATTAGAAACGATAAGCAGCCATTCACCAAGTGGGAAGAAGAACTGAAAGAAAGAGAAAAGTAGGGATAGGGAGAAAGGGATTCCTTGAAGGATGTAAGAGCTAGTAGGTGAGGAAAACTCATCCATACCTGAGAAATATCTGCTGTTTTATAAAAAGTTTTTTTATCAAGAGTTTTCAGGCTTCCAATAACACATGGCAAATCAACCACCTTTGCAGCTAGTGAGACATCTTCTACATCAACAACTGCATGACGTCCATCAGCTGAAGAGAAGTAGGAAAAATTAAAGTTGACATCTTCCTAATGCATTCTTAAGCTTCCTAGAGTCTCAGTAATTAAGACTTACATGGGACAGACTAGTCTTTCAGCAAAACCTACTATCATCATGCTAGAATTGCGTATGTAATTAGTAACTTCCCAGAGCAAAGAAGGCAGGGTAGATGTTTATGCTACTTGATCAAAAGTAGGTAAGTTTTTTTCCTAATCCCTGTGAACTAAATGCGGATGAAGTGGTAAGTGTTTCCAGTCTCCTCCTGAAAGGCAAACTCCATTCAAACCCATTCATTTTGACACTATTAGAAGCACTCGCTTATGTCATCACACATGGGTATTTTCAAAGGGTCAAGTGAAGGAAGGTTTGATCCCAGAATGGTGCTAGTAAATCTGAAGTTATAATCTCTAGTTACCTTCACAAAGATATTATCCTTAACAATATCCATATACAGTAGGAATACATATATTCAAATGCTGACAACCCTGATTCCTGCACAGATGTCTCAAACATGAATGTCCTTTAACACAAGAAGATTCAAGTGAAATCTTCTAATAGTAAGTGAAAAAGAAAAATGCAGAATGATGTAGGATAGATTCTTTTTGTGTCTTTAATTCTTTAACTTTAGGGGTGCCTGGGTGGCTCAGTCATTAAGTGTTTGCCTTTGGCTCAGGTCATGATCCCAGGATCCTGGGATCAAGCTCTGCATCAGGCTCCCTGCCCAGCAGGAAGACCCTATTTCTCCCTCTTGCACTCACCCTGCCTGTGTTCCCTCTCTCTCTGTCTCCCTCTGTCAAATAAATTAAATCTTTAAAAAATAAATAAAGTAACTTTAAAGATACAGATGATTTAAATGTTTGTTTTGTGCATAAAAATTTTGTCTGTAAGGAAATACAAGGAGAAACAATTATTATTAGTTATCTTTGGCATTAACATTGGGGCACTGCAAAGGAGAGGTTCACTTTATTTTTTGAACTCTTCTGTTTTACATGAATTTTCTTTCTTTTTTTTTTAAAGATTTTATTTATTTATTTGACAGAGAGATCACAAGTAGGCAGAGAGGCAGGCAGAGAGAGAGAGGAGGAAGCAGGCTCCCTGTCGAGCAGAGAGCCCGACGCGGGACTCGATCCCAGGACCCCGAGACCATGACCTGAGCCGAAGGCAGTGGCCCAATCCACTGAGCCACTCGGGCGCCCCTTACATGAATTTTCTAACCATGAACTTGTATTACCTGTTTAAAAATGTTAATAAGGGCTACCTGAGTGATGGTATTATAGACCATTTAAAATTTTCTTCTTTATATACTTCTCTGTATTTAAAACACCTAATAAATATTTAACAGAGAGAAAGATATGTGATTTTTATAAACAAAGAACAGTATTCATTTGTTATTCCCCTGGACAGTCAGAAATCACAAAGCCTGTATGTAGGAGACAAACAGCAGTATACAAATCTCATAGTTGGCCCCCATGTTTTTCCTTATATACACTATAATAATTACCTCAAATTACATAATTTCTACTTCCTTTCCTCAATAAGAAGCTATGAAAGTGACTTAAGGCTTCTTAAGACTTCTTAGAGTCTATCAAGGCAGAGACCATATCCTTAGTATCTTGTATAGTGTCTGGCACATAGCAGTCTCCTAATAAATTACTGTTCAATGTATGGCAAATGGATAATAACTACTTACAAGATAAGTCAATTTTGAGTTTATTCTTCATGGCAACACTTCTAGAATGTAGTATCTTCCTGACAGCAGATGCATGTTCCTAAAAAGAAGGGAGGTTGAAAAATCAGAAGGATGAATAGTCTGCTTGGCAACTAATAGAGATATGTCACAGACAGTGCTCCCTTAAATAAAACCTTAAACCTCCCAAATGTTAAGAACAATGCCATGCACCATGGTATACCGTGCACTGGGTAAGGCAAGTTAGGATGAGGCTGACTCTAGTCTCAGTGTTGTTTCTTAGCAGCTACAGTTAGTGCCTTCTTCTAGCTCTACATTCCTGCCCTGCAGTTGTAGTTGCTAAGGAAAGGCTTAAGCTGCAGTTTACTGGGTATATTAGGTAGACCTAACTGGGAAAATACCTTTCTGAAACCCGTCTTTAATATAGCTTGCTTAGACTAAATACTACTTGAATGCAGGTATTAAAGGGATAAGAGACCCTAACACAATGTTAAGATGAGCTTCAAGAGCCTGGCATGCTGATGAATTTGAGGAAATAGTGATGGTCCCCCACACTGCCCCTTTGGAGGTGACAGAAAGAATTTTAAAAGTCTTATCTCCGCTGTCCAGTGAACAGGCTGTTAGCACCTCTGGTAAGTGACTGAATCCCTCACTGTCACAGCCGTTTGCCAGGAAATCAGCCCACATGATAGGCAGCATGTACAGGATGAAAGAAATTCTGCTAAAAGAGTACACACTAGATAGGACTGTTGAATAGAACGTGATTCCTGGGAGACAAATGTTCTTAGTTTTTATAGCATACCTTAAATAGAAATGCCACAGAATCCAAGCAGAGCTAATACATATGCACTGAAGATATTTGGTCTGAGATACAAGGGTTTCTTACCGGAGGCAGACGCAATATAAACTGGTTCTCAAGTTCGTGAGGAGGTTCATCCTGGCTTTTACTCATCTCTTTGTTTTTGAGTTCATGAAAGCAAAAACAAAATCGACAGAAAGTGACCAAAAACTCATCTTGCTCGCTCTGCTGACCACTTCTGGTAGCACTGGTTACATTATACAAGATCTTGCCCATAACCCTCACTGGAATGATGTGTGCACAACTCTGAAGTATCTTACTTGACATAACTTGATTATTTCTAAAAGTCACCTCATCTCCCCTTCAATATATGCAGACTTTCCAAGGAAAGCCCAAATCACATGATAACAAATGAAGTAATAGTTGTTATGAAACATGATTTTGTCTTCTTAATGATATCCTTAGACTGTTAGGTAAAAGACCACAATTCATCAACTCAGTGGTGGCTACTGAAGCAAATTACATGTCTCCACAGGGAAGAGGGCCAACCAAAGGCCAAAATCAACCAAAACCATGAGTGGAAATGTTCTATGATGAACAGCATAATTTTTGACATTTCATTCACTTTAACGAATTGGTAGAAATTAAGCCCATGGGAGAACAGGTAGATTTTACAACTCTAAAGTCAGCATCAACAGCTCTGAGCTATCTTGGAAAAAAGTTAGGAGTCCAGTTCTTATGGCTAGGCCATCTATATGAGTACACTTAAGTTCATGGAATAGACACTTTCTTGAAGGCTAATATGAAAGATCAGAAAACCCAATGAACCAATTCATTAGTAACATTTACTGTGTACATCCTATATGCCAGGTACTTCACTGTATTAGGTCTATTATTTCATTTAATCCTCACAACCACCACTTACTGGAAATACCCCTAAAAGTTATTTAAAGGAATCCTAAGATGGATCCCTTTATTAAAACAAACAAACAAACAACAACCTCCTATAAAGTAAATAATCTCATCACCATTCATCTTTATTTTTAATTTAACTTTCCATCTATTTGGGATATATCTGTAAGTGGCTTGCATGCTGGGTTTTAGGGCTCTAAGGACTTCTAAGGAAATTTTTCTCAAAAGGTGGAAAGAAAGCAATATACATATATGAAACCTGACAAGGTCTTCCTATGCTCTAAGGACATTATCCTATACACCAAGTTATAAAATCTTACACCTTAAGTAAGAGTAAAATCTCCAGTTAAATGCAGCTCCTAATACTCTGTAAACCATCTGAATCTCACTTAAAAGCATTGGAACCATTTTTTAAAACATATGCAAGTGAGCCTAAGACCGTATTATGGTGAAATCATTAACCAGTCCTTTAGAAACTACTTCAGAAACTACCAGAAAGGCATTAACCAGTCCTTCAGAAACTGACTTCAGAAACTACCAGAAAGGCATAGAAAGCAAAAAAGATGTCAGCAGTGGAAAAGGAGACACCCAAAATGAGAGAGAGATTATTTGCCATAGTCAATTCTTCTTTTCCTACTTATATAAAGATATATATATATATATATATATATATATACACACACACACACATATGTATGTATGTATGTATGTATGTGTGTACACACACAGATACAGAAACTGAATGTGAACATAAGGAAAAAAGTTAATTAAATTAAGTAAAATTCTTGGAGCTGGGCACACTGCCTAACAGAATGAAAAGTAGCAAATACAAGGTTGGGGGCAGAAATACAGATTATTTGAAGAACTAGCTGCTAAGCAAGACTTTATCAGATCAGAAGTAACTTTTACATTTTTCAGAACTAAGACTAGGGCATTTTGTTCATTTCAATGCCTTTCAGGCAACTCCTCTCTTAAGAAATAAAGAATGTAAGAATCAAAACCATTTCAGGGGCGCCTGGGTGGCTCAGTCGTTAGGCACCTGGCTTTGGCTTGGGTCATGATCCCAGAATCCTGGGATCGAGCCCCATGCCGGGCTCCCAGCTCCGCGAGAAGCCTGTTTCACCCTCTCCTAGTCCCCCTGCTTGTGTTTCCTCTCTCACTGTGTCTCTCTCTGTCGAATACATAAATCTTTAAAAAAAAAAAATAAAATAAAAGCCAAAACTATTTCAGAGAAGGTGGACAAACCCTAGCTGAAATGAGTTTTAATTAGTTGTAAAATTTGTTACCTTTTACCTTCATTTATGCAACGAACCGGGTGTATCGTATTTAAGAAAAGGCATCCATTTTTTTTTCCAGACAAGCACTCTTTGATAAGTAATTAAACTAACAGCAGCGCTCTCCACCATTCACTCCCAGCTCCATCTCGTTTCAGCGCAATCAGAATTGGAATTAGAATTACAGCTAACTGGAGGGTGCCTAACAGCATGCTCCAGGCAGCACAAGTCAGCACACGCCTAAATGGGTATTTTCTCAAGTTCACAGCCTCTGGCAGCAGTTTGAAACCAATGACCACTCCATCCTTATCTCAGGGGCACTCAGCTTCCAAGGAAGAGTCCAGCTCCTAGGTTCTGATCCAATTTCCCTGGAAAACCTCCCGCGGGGCCCAGGGTCCCCAGCCTTCGCGCCTTGCCGTCCAGGCGGGTTGGGGAGGGAAGTGCGGCGCGCGGGAGCTAGGCGCTGACCCGGTGCGGGAACCCTCTGACAGCCGCGACTCACCCCGTGCTCCGCGGACCGCGCCAGGACCGGAAAGGCAGCGCGGGGGGAGCCCGCCTCTCTTCTCTCGTTGGGGGTGGGGGGCGGGTTCCGGCGAGTGCGTTAGTGGGCTCACGGGCAGCGGGCATGGAGGCCGGCTGCGGCCGGACGGCGTGGCGACAGGTAGGAGACGCGCGCACCGCCCTTCCCCGCCTAGCCACGCCTCCTGGGCCGGGGCCCGACTGGACCCGCGGGTGGCCTCCAGTTCACCGCGTGCCTGGGCAAGGAGGCTTGAAAGGCGCTGAGCGTGGTGGGAAGCTTGCTGAGCAAAGCTTCCAAACAAATTCATTTTACAAAGGGGCGACCTTCGGGGCGGCCGGGGCAGTCTTAGCAGTACACTGCGATATTTGTAAAGGGGGCGGTTCATTCGGTTGCTCCTCAAAGCCATTAGGTTGGACCGGTTTGTTCCTCGGTGAGACGACCTCGCCTGGTGACAAATACGTCGCCGTGCAAAACCGTTAAATAACTAGAATCCGCGCCCAAACTACTCTAACATAATTAGCTGTTCTCTTCTCCTCAAGAGAGTCACCGTTGTACCTATTTCAGACTGGGATACAAGCAACACAGCTTATTTCTCCTAAAGGGAGTCTCCGTTCAAATAAACTTCTAACAGTTTTCTCCCAAAAAATAACCTTAACCTGTGAGGAAAAAAAAAAAAAATTAAGCCACTTACCTTTCCCTTCTGGTAAGTTTTCCTGAGGCGCTGTGGCTCCAGCCGGGGTGCCGCTGTCGGCATCAGCTTTGGTGACGTGGTCGGCAGCAGTTTGGGTGACTTGGTAGCTGGCATTTTCGGCGCCCGGGTCGCCAACAGTTTCACCCTCGTTGTCGACAGAAATTTGGGGATCTTTGGAGCCGGTTGCTTCCGATGTTGAAACTGTTGGTGTTGAATCATTTACTAACAGATCCGGAGGCTGTCCCTCAGGGTGCTCCATGGTCTACTCCTTGAGGTTGTAAAATGGCTTCCTTTTTAGTCATGTGACCTTGAAGATTCCAGAACTTTCATAACATGATGTCAAAGGTATCCTCCTTAAAGACATAGGGATAATATAAAGAGACATTGCTGATGCCCGTTAAAGATGATAGCGATGAAATCTCTACTGCCTAATACATATCTAAACTTAATCGTAAGGGATAAACATTTTGGGAGGACTGATTATTGTACAGTCATTTCTTCTGGGTAAGATTTTCATTCAGTGAAGGCAAATTATCAGAGTTTCAGACCTAGAAAAAATTGTTTTGGTCCCTTTTGGAATCCCTCCATATACTGATCTTTATATCAAGGGTTGAAATACAAAATAGACCAATGAAACTCATTTTTCATGTAGTGTAGTATATTCTTTAAGGCATTTATATCACAAAATAGTTCTTTAATAAGTCGAAGGGGGCGCCAGGGTGGTTCAGCAGGGTAGACAATTACCTCAGGTCATGATCCTGGCGTCCTGTAATCCAGCGCCACCTAGGGCTCCCGCCCAGTGTGGAGTCTGCTTCTCCATCTGCCTGCTGCTTTCCCTGCTTGTGCACACTCTCTGTCACCCCTCCCCCTTCAAATAAATAAAATCTAAAAAAAAAATAATAATTCAAAGGAAAAATTCCTTTTTTGGTAACTAAAATAGCTGAGTAACTGTTTTGAACCATATAGCTAATGTGAATTATGTCATTAACTTTCCTTGTGACAGCTGCTAGAAAGCTCAGAACCAATTTTACAAACTTACCTCGAACAACTATGAACTTTATTGGCATATGCCGATCTTTCTGTTATCTTAAATAACCATATTCTCTATGAATCCCCTAATTATTTTTACCTTGTGCAGTAACACTGAAAGCTGCTAAAAACTTTTATTATTATTATTATTATTATTTTTAAAAGGATTTTATTTATTTGACAGAGAGAGATCACAGGTAGGCAGAGAGGCAGGCAGAGAGAGAGAGAGAGAGGGAGGAGGAAGCAGGCTCCCTGCCCAGCAGAGAGCCCTATGTGGGACTTGATCCTAGGACCCTGAGATCATGACCTGAGCTGAAGGCAGAGGCTTAACCCACTGAGCCACCCAGGCACCCCCTATTATTATTTTTTAAAGCAATCTCTACACCCATTGTGGGGTTCAAACTCAAGATCCTGATATCAAGTGTCTACCTTGGCAGAGGTAGACTGACTGAGCCAGCCAGGCACCCCTCAAAACTTTTTTAAAAAGAATCAGAGGAGCACCTGGGTGGCTCAGTCAGTTAAGTGGCTGCCTTGGGCTGAGGCCATGATTCCAGGGGCCTGGGATAGATAGTCCTGTGTAGGGCTCCCCTCTCCATGGGGAGCCTGCTTCTCCCTCTCCCTCTGCCTTTTGCTCTGCCACAAGCTCCCCCTGGTTGTACTCTCTTTCTCTGTCAAATAAAGAAATAAAATATTTTTATAAGAGAGAGAGAGAATCAGAGAGGTGCCTGGCTGGCTCAGTCAGTAGAGTGTGTGACTCTTGATCTTGGGAGTCCTGAGTTCAGGCTGCACTTGGGTGTAGAGATCACTTTAAAAATATTAAAAGAGAGTCAGATATAAATAATAGATAAATAAAAATACTCTGACAGAATTGTTATGGGGAACATCCCTTTAGGTAGAGGAAGGGAACATAGTAACTCCTCACGTATAAATTCAATCATCCAACAAATGTTAGTTGAAAATCTCACATGCCAGTCTTGATTTTAAATATTTATTAGATTCTTTTTTTTTTAAAGATTTTATTTATTTATTTGACAGAGAGACCACAAGCAGGCAGAGAGGCAGGCAGAGAGAGGAAGGTAAGCAGGCTCCCTGCCAAGCAGAGAGCCCGATGCGGGGCTCGATCCCAGGACCCTGGGATCATGACCTGAGCTGAAGGCAGAGGCTTTAACCCACTGAGCCACCCAGGTGCCCCTATTTATTAGATTCTTAAAATATGATAAGAGTTTTGTGGAAGGAAGCAAAAATTATCCTTAAGATACAGGCATACATATATGTAATTTTTCCTTTATTGCCAGATTTCCAGCCCCTTCTTAAGGAAGAAGAGGATGAAATGTGCAAGAAGGAAAAGAGTATGAAAATTGTGGTTTCTTTTGCTGGAAGAGAGCTGATCCAAGAAGTAGCATGATGTACAGATAAAAATCTGTCATATGCGTATTATCATATTGTCAAATACATATAGAATATATTTCCGGGCTCTGTTCTGTCATGTTGCTGTCTTTCTAATCAGTTCTTCTGGACCCCATCCTTTCCCCCAACTATGACTTTGATCAGTTTCATCATTGTAGCAAATATGCAGTTGCATGTATTCCTTCAACAGAAATATACTGAGTTACATGCCAGAAACCATTCTAAGGTTAATAATAGCTAACATTCACTGAGCACTCATTAGATGCTGAACTCTTTGCTAAGCACTTTGTATGTATTATTTCATTTAACCTTCACAATTGCTCTGTGAGTTTGGTGTGACTATGATTCTGAGTTTTTTCCCCCCAGATAAGTAAACTGAGATTTGGAAAGGTTAATTAACTTGACCCATGTCACACATGCAGTAAATGGTGGAGCCAATATGTAATTTAATCCCAGGTCCCTTGACTGTGTGGATGTCCACAAAGATTTCCCCTACACAATTAGATGTACAGTTATTCCCCCATTGTCTGCACCCTCCAGCCCCTGGTAACTTCTGTTCCACTTTCTGTTTTTATGAGTTTGCTTATTCTAGGTACTTCATATAAGTAGAATCGTATAATATTTGTCCTTTTGTATCTGGATTCTTTCACTTACTCATACAATGAGTTGGGAAGTATTTTCTCCTCATATATTTTGGAATAGGTTGAGAAATGTAGGAGTTAATATGTTTAATGTTTGGTAGAAATAATCAGTGAGGCCGTCTGATTCTGAGTTTTTCTTTGTTGGGAGGTTTTTGATACTGACTTAATCTCCTTATTGGTAATAATTCTGTTGAAATTTTCTATTTCTTTATAATTCAGTTTCAGCAGCTGTGTGTTTCTAGGAAATTTTTCCACTTCATCTAGGCTGTCCTACTTGCTGCTATACAATTGTTAATAGCATTCTCTTATAATCCTTTTTATTTCTGTAAAATCGACAGTAATGTCCCCAGCTTCTTTCTGATGTTATTAATTTAAGTCTTCTCTTTTTTTGTCTTTGTCTACCTAAAGATTTTTCAATTTTGTTGTTATTTTCAAAGAATCTACCTTTGGTTTCATTGATTTTTTTCTATTTCTATTCTCTATTTTATTTATCTATGTTCCAATTTTTATTATTTCCTTCCTTCTCTTAGCTTTAGGTTTAGTTTGTTCTTCTTTTTCTTATTCCTTAAAGTGTAAAGTAAGGTTGTTGATTTAAAATGTTTTTTTTAAAAAGATTTTTATTTATTATTTGACAGACAGAGATCACAAGTAGGCAGAGAGGCAGGAGGCGTGGTGGGGGAAGCAGGCTCCCTGCTGAGAAGAAAGCCTAATGCAGGGCTAGATCCCAGGACCCCAGGATCATGACCTGAGCCGAAGGCAGAGGCTTTAACCCACTGAGCCACCCTAGCGCCCCTAAAATGTTTCTTTCTTTTTTTTTTTTTACAGTGTGAATTTTTTTTAATTTTATTTTTTATAAACATATATTTTTATCCCCAGGGGTACAGGTCTGTGAATCGCCCAGTTTACAAACTTCATAGCATTCACTATAGCACATACCCTCCCCAATGTCCATAACCCCACCCCACCCTCCCAACACCCCTGCCCCCATCAACCCTCAGTTTCTTTTGTGAGATTAAGAGTCACTTATGGTTTGTCTCCCTCCCAATCCCATCTTGTTTCATTTATTCTTCTCCTACCCCCTTAACCCCCCATGTTGCCGATTGACTTATTTCACTAAGCATGATACCCTCTAGTTCCATCCATGTCGTCGCAAATGGCAAGATTTCATTTCTTTTGATGGCTGCATAGTATTCCATTGTGTATATATACCACATCTTCTTTATCCATTCGTCTGTTGATGGACATCTAGGTTCTTTCCATAGTTTGGCTATTGTAGACATTGCTGCTATAAACATTCGGGTGCACGTGCCCCTTCAGATCACTACGTTCGTATCTTTAGGGTAAATACCCAGCAGTGCAATTGCTGGGTCATAGGGTAGTTCTATTTTCAACATTTTGAGGAACCTCCATGCTGTTTTCCAGAGTGGTTGCACCAGCTTGCATTCCCACCAACAGTGTAGGAGGATTCCCCTTTCTCCGCATCCTTGCCAGCATCTGTCATTTCCTGACTTGTTAATTTTAGCCATTCTGACTGGTGTGAGGTGATATCTCATTGTGGTTTTGATTTGTATTTCCCTGATGCCGAGTGATATGGAGCACTTTTTCATGTGTCTGTTGGCCATCTGGATGTCTTCTTTGCAGAAATGTCTGTTCATGTCTTCTGCCCATTTCTTGATTGGATTATTTGCTCTTTGGGTGTTGAGATTGCTAAGTTCTTTATAGATTTTGGACACTAGCCCTTTATCTGATATGTCGTTTGCAAATATCTTCTCCCATTCTGTCAGTTGTCTTTTGGTTTTGTTAACTGTTTCCTTTGATGTGCAAAAGCTTTTGATCTTGATGAAATCCCAATAGTTCATTTTTGCCCTTGCTTCCCTTGCCTTTGGCAATGTTCCTAGGAAGATGTTGCTGCAGCTGAGGTCGAAGAGGTTGCTGCCTGGGTTCTCCTCAAGGATTTTGATGGTTTCCTTTCTCACATTGAGGTCCTTCATCCATTTTGAGTCTATTTTCGTGTGTGGTGTAAGGAAATGATCCAATTTCATTTTTCTGCATGTGGCTGTCCAATTTTCCCAGCACCATTTATTGAAGAGGCTGTCTTTTTTCCATTGGACATTCTTTCCTGCTTTGTCAAAGATTAGTTGACCATAGAGTTGAGGGTCTATTTCTGGGCTCTCTATTCTGT